ACGGATATTTTTCACCGAAATATCGTGTCTGACTTGACGTTTTTCTCTATTAGCTATATTGTGCAACTCGTGCTCGCTCTACAGGCTACAATTTTTTACAGATTCTTTTGATTTTTATTTTGTGTGTCAATGTCATTATGAAGATGATTCCTATTGATTTTCGTGATGATCCGAAAAATTTTCACCGAAATATCATGTCTGACTTGACGTTTTATTCTATTAGCTATATTGTGCAACTCGTGCTCACTCTACAGACTACAATTCTTTACAGATTCTTTTGATTTTTATTTTGTATGTCTATTTCGTTATGAAGATGATCCCTATCGATTTTCATGATGATCTATCGATTTTCATGATGATCGGATAATTTTTCACCGAAATATCGTGTCTGACCTGACGTTTTACTCTATTAGCTATATTGTGCAGCTCGTGCTCACTCTACAGGCTACAATTCTTAACAGATTCTTTTGATTTTTATTTTGTATGTCAATGTTGTTATGAAGATGATCCCTATTGATTTTCGCGATGATCGGATAATATTTCACCAAAATATCGTGTCTGACTTGATGTTTCACTCTATTAGCTATATTGTGCAACCCTGTAGTCACTAAAGATTGTTTAATCATTTCTGACAGCTGCCAGTGGGCGTATGTTACCTTGCCTGGCAAGCTATCTTTCATACTTTTATAAAATATTTCGTTTTAACAAAATAAGTTATTCTATCAAACGAATTGGTTATTTCGTTAAAACGAAATATTTTATAAAAGTACGGAAAATTGCGCCTAAGGGTCTCCATACAATGGTAATCAGGGGTTTTTTTTTTTATGAAAACAATAAAGTCAAATCTATAAAAGTTAAGCTTCCTTATAGCACTCTGTTGAACATTTAACTAGTGATTGGTTTCAGTATACTGGAATAATATTATAATTACAGCTGTCTTAAATGTTGTATCAGCTAAGAAGAATATGGTCAGAACATTTGGTAGTTTGTTAAACAAAAGTTATCATTTGGCTATAGACAATGGAAGAACAGTTGGTCATGTATGTATTTTTTTTTGTTCAATATTAAGAGATATTGATATATGAATTAGGTCTTGATTATTAAACTGATTTTGGCCAAAATAAAGAAATTTACATTAAAGCTATTAATCAAAGAAGTCAGAACTTTGGTGATTTTCCAAATCTTGAAATTTTATCATTTTACTTGCTGAGTCCATGTTGCTGGCTTAGGATGAACCCTTTTATATTTGAGATAATTTCTGGCTTCTTGAGATAAACTCAATGTTTGAATTTGACTTCAGTTCCAAATCATCTGTTCTTTTAAAACATGGCATGATTTTGTAAAGCAATTTTTGTTGCCTATGTTATTGGATAAAAATTATCACCTTGTTATATTTTTTTTCATTAGGGTAAAGGTGGAGCATTTTGTGAATTCCGTATTCATGTCCAGCATGATTTAACAGTTTTATTAGAATCTGTGAAATATCCTCTACAATTTGTAACGTTTTTAGACAATGGCAGACCTGCTGATAGCAGAGGCGTGGTAGATTCGGATAGTTCTAGAATCTTTCACATTTATTGTAAGGTAAGTGGCTAGATAAATCTATACAATTCATGACTTCTGGTGAAAAAGACACAAGAATTAATCAACCTGAAGGGTGTAATATGTAGTGAGGTCTTGATAAATTGTTTTAATGACAATATTTCTACTTCCAATATACCTCCTGAGGTTTCAGTATTCACCTCAGTACTAACACTTGCTCTAATTGTGCAGATTCACAAATATGTTGAGGGGTGTGATCACTCTCCCACAACTTGGTTGGTGTTTGTGTAGTGTGATCACATCTGTGAATTCCAGAAATGACTATGTCCTTTTTCGACAATTCTGCCCCCTTTTTTTGCAATTTATTATAAGAAGGCTTGTAAGGGATTGCAATTAAAAACACCATAGAACATTTTAATTTTTGGATTTTCTGATTTCTTAAGAGCGATAAAATCTTCAACCAAGTTTTTCTCAAAATGGACATGGTCAGTTCTGCTTTTGGGCCCATGACATTATGGCTAATTATAATCTATGGAACATCATTTCAGGGTATGTTTAGAAATAGAGGTGTTATTATGTTCAGAACATCTCGAACTCAGACCCTAGCTCAAGATCCAGAAGAAGGTATATATGGTACAGGAAAGGTCAATAGAACAGCCCATTTTAAAATTCATAAGATCAGTGAAAATGGTGTTCGTATGTTTGAAAGTGTCATTAATCCAGGAAGATACATCAGAGTTAAAAGTGGCACTGTAGATTGCCAGGTAAATTTGCATTGTTTCATTTATTTTTAGTTATCAATATTTGAAAATTTGTAGTAGAGGTATTCTTATGATCTGCAAAAATACTGGTTTGTCTCACGAGTTCATAATTAACTTGAAATTAACTAATTCAGGATTGATGACAATAATAAAATAATCCCTTGATAAAGATTATCAGGTTTTAAACAATTTTATATGTGTGTGACCAATTGACTATGGTAAAATTTCAATTTGGCTGAAACTGTATTTTAATCAGATGGAAATTTTGCAAAAGAATAAGCCATTTCGGAACTACATGTGCACATGTGAAACACGCTCTTTCCCCCTTGGGATAATCAACGTCCATTAAACATGGCTTTCTATGGAATAAGGATCTCATCTACATTTACAACTATTCATACTTGAGATTTTCACTGAACAAACTTGCTTTCAACAACATTTTAAATGATAAATGGATAACTGTGAAAGTAAACTCTTTTTGGATTACATCCATCCATCGCTGGCTGTAGACTGCCTTAGTAAATCGATATTTAGTTGAGAATTAGCATGTTAAGTATTTGCACGTTTTGTTTTGAACAGGTGTAGCACTCATATTATTGTCTCTGAATCAGCTATTGTCATGTATATTTGGCATGTATTTACAGGGTGGTAGAGATGAAGCATCACATTTTATTGTCAAGAAATATCCAGAAAAGGGTTATATAACTCTAGAATCTTGTATACAACGTGGATTATATGTTGGATTAACCAATGATGGATTTGTGAAACCTACGGTGGATACTGGTGGTAAAAATGTCTGTCTTTATCCTGAAGTTATTGAATGTAAGAAATTTTTTTTTTTCCTTTTTTCAGACCTATCTTTGACAAGTATGCTATAAGTCATATGATGTGTGAACTCTCCAAATGGGACAAACTTAGTCACATGTATCGTTATTTCCAGTATAAGCTCTCAACATCTTACTATTTTAAGTAGGTATTGACAAGTGCCTATCTATATCACAGTGTAAACAATACAAGAATGATCTGATTTTAAAAAATATATTTTTGTTACGTTTGTAGTTGGTATACCTAAACGTAAAGATGTTGATTTAGATGAAGATGAATTCACCAATAATCCTCAATCATATCGAACACCTAGAACACCAAAAACACCTAAAACACCCAAGTCAGGCAGAATAGAAGGTATTTCATAGTTTTATCAGACTTAAATTTTCAGATTATAGTTTAGACCACACCCCCTTATCAATAAGGATGAGATTAGTGGCATTTCTAGGAAACCGGGGCTGTGACAGTGAATTTTGTCAAAATAATCTTTCTCGTCCAGATTTTGCTGAATCAATCTATCAATCACATTTTTCCTTTGTCAATGGTGTAGGTCTGAAGATTGACATTGAGACCTGTGTACTATAGACTGTTTACATTAAAGGTCCTTGAATAGTTAAAAATGGAAACCTATGCTTTTTTCTTGTCAAAGCCATGGAGATGACACTTCTCTTAAAAAAATTTTCTGACAACAATATACCCCCTCCTGTATGTTTATATTATAGAAGGTACATGGAAGATCACAGTTTCTACAGCTGAATCATTAGAAAACGGTAACGTAAGTCTGGTTGCCTATGGTGACAAGGGTAATACAGGACCTATATCATTGGCTGCTCCTACACAAAATGGTCCAATATTTCAAAGTGGAAGTGTTGATGAGTTTACTGTAAGTACAAAATTGATTTCAGAAACTTTAAACATGATTTGGTTAATTTGTAGTAATAACAACTTTGACAATTGACTTTAATTTGTAAAGATGGTAGTAATCAGATCAAATCAAAATTACTAGACAATCTCTCTCCAGACAATTGCTCTCTAGACAGTTGCTCACCAGACAATTGCTCTCTAGACAGTTGCTCACTGGACATTTCCTCTCTAGACAGTTGCTCACTGGACATTTCCTCTCTTGACAGTTGCTCACTGGACATTTTCTCTCTGGACAGTTCCTTACCAGACAATTGTTCTCCGAACAGTTGCTCAATGGACATTTGCTCTCTAGACAGTTGCTCACTGGACAATTGCTCTCTAGACAGTTGCTCACCAGACAATTGCTCTCTAGACAGTTGCTCACCAGACAATTGCTGTCTAGACAGTTGCTCACCAGACAATTGCTCTCTAGACAGTTGCTCACTGGACAATTGCTCTCTAGACAGTTGCTCACTGGACAATTGCTCTCTAGACAGTTGCTCACTGGACAACTGCTCTGTAGACAGTTGCTCACCAGACAATTGCTCTCTAGACAGTTGCTCACTGGACAATTGCTCTCTAGACAGTTGCTCACTGGACAATTGCTCTCTAGACAGTTGCTCACCAGACAATTGCTCTCTAGACAGTTGCTCACCAGACAATTGCTCTCTAGACAGTTGCTCACTGGACAATTGCTCTCTAGACAGTTGCTCACCAGACAATTGCTGTCTAGACAGTTGCTCACTGGACAATTGCTCTCTAGACAGTTCCTCACTGGACAATTGCTCTCTAGACAAATTTGCTCTCTAGACAGTTGATCACTGGAAATTTGCTCTCTTGACAATTGCTCTCTAGACAGCTCATCACCAGACATTTGCTCTCTAAACAGTTGCTCACTGGACAATGGCTCTCTAGACATATTGCTCACCACAAAATAACATATTCAATGTTTAATAAATCATTAATAACAAGATTATCATATTTTTAATGACCTAATAATAAAATAGGACTAACAACTGAAATCGAACATTCCTTGATTCACAGAAACGACAATTTTGGCCCCTTTTTTGCAATTTATTATAAGAAGGTTTGTAAGGGACTGCAAAATCATTTTAGATGTCTTCTCCTCCAATCTAAATTATAAAGTTTCAAGGGAACCCTCCCTCTCCATGTTAATTTCACATTTCAGTTTAGATTTATACCCCCTCCGTTTATAAAATGATAGTCTCTAATTTTGGGTTTTTTTTTGAATAGGCAAATTTCTTGAAAGCTGGTAAATTATTTAAAGTGAGACTGGAAGTTGAAGAGAAAGATAAGAAATCTGATCCAATGTGGAAGGTACGAGAAGTCAAAATGGAGGATTTGAAGACGAAAGACATAATACGATTGAATTTTAACCGATGGTTATCACCGATACATGATGATGGTTCATTAGCTAGAGAACTTCCTATTGAACATAAAGGAGAAAAACCATTATCAGGTAAGCTAAGAACCTATGTGTTGTCAAATTGTGCAATGACTTTATTGCTACAAGGTGTTGATAAATTGTGTTCTTGATGACTTTTGAAGCATATTAGGGCCATTCATCAACATACTAGCTTGAAAATTCAACATACTAACTTGAAAATTCAACATATTAACTTGAAAATTCAACATATTAACTTGAAAATTCAACATACTAACTTGAAAATTCAACATACTAACTTGAAAATTCAACATACTAGCTTGAAAATTCAACATACTAGCTTGAAAATTCAACATACTAACTTGAAAATTCAACATACTAGCTTGAAAATTCAACATACTAACTTGAAAATTCAACATACTAGCTTGAAAATTCAACATACTAACTTGAAAATTCAACATACTAACTTGAAAATTCAACATACTAGCTTGAAAATTCAACATACTAACTTGAAAATTCAACATACTAACTTGAAAATTCAACATATTAACTTGAAAATTAAAGTTATTAAATTCAACATACTAACTTGAAAATCAACATACTAACTTGAAAATCAACATACTAACTTGAAAATTCAACATACGAGCTTGAAAATTCAACATACTAACTTGAAAATTCAACATACTAACTTGAAAATTCAACATACTAACTTGAAAATTCCAAAAAATGAATGGTCCTAATACGCTTCCGTATATTTGAATAAAAATTAATTACTACAAATATGATGTGAAATTAAAAATGGTAATTGAGCTCATTAAATGAAAAATAAAAGACAGGTTTTAAATATTAGAACAGATATATGGATATGATTATTCAAATTATGGCTTTACCAGCTAAAAGAACTTATCATTTTGTTAGTGCAAAAATTTGACTTGTTGCACTTTTAAAACTAAAGAAAAACATAAAGGATGAAATTCTAAATCTGAAGTACGTAATTTCCATGATTCTATAAACCATTGCTGATGTATTTATAACATGATCAGGAAGTCAGATTTAGATGCTGAAAAGTGTTATGGATACATAAAAACAAACTTTATTAGTAAGTTAAACATGAATTTACAAGATTGTCTTCTTTTTGGTTTTGGGTTAAGTTTAATGTGTTTGTATGGATATAATTTATTTCAGTTATTAAGTATATGGTAATAGTACAAACTGGTAAAGACCGGGGAGCTGCTACAGCTGCTAATGTTTATATCAATTTATTTGGTGAAAATGGTGATTGTGGTAAAAGATTTTTGATCCAATCAGATAACAAACGAAAATTTGTTGCTGGACAGGTAAGATTTATTGTTGGTAATGACTATATATATTGTTAAAGCTCAAAGATTAGTTTCACAAAATCTTAGATGATTATGAGATGTCCTGATTTTATAACTCAACTATGTTATTGGAAGTTTATTAAACATGACAGTATAGGTTTGTTTTCAGCATTTAAATGAATTAGATTAATGATATATGTCAGATCAACAAGTTTTCTATGTACCTGGAGATTAACTGAGTTTATAATATGGTCATTGTTTTTTATCTCCTTATACATGAATCAATCAAAGATTTTATCCTAAACAGTGCTGGCGATATCTGAATCTATAATCTATTGGAATTTGGAGTAGATATCAATTTTAAACACCAAATTTAAATGTGAAGTGCTTATTGGGATGTCACACATGTCCGTCAGTTCATTCGCTACTCAATTTCAGAAAGAACCATTCTTGATGGATTTTTACTTAACTTAATGTTTTACTGAACCCCATTGAAAATAAAAAAATATCAAATATGAGTTGTTGCCCTTTGTTTTTGAAAATGCATTCAATTTTTAGTTCCAAGACACTCAAGGCAAAATTCTTTATGGATATTGACAAAATTTGGTGAAATTGTTCATTATCAGCCGAAATCAACAAATTAATGTTTTATATGATTTCTTGTTACTCTTCTGCCAAATGTTCGAAGTTAAAAAGAGTCTGCTGCCAAACTACATCTTAATTTGGTATTGATATATTATTTATTATTATATTACAGAAAGATGTTTTTGAAATAGAGGCAGTAGATTTAGGTAGCATCAATAAATGTTTAGTAGGACATGATGGTACCAAATCAGGTGATGGCTGGTTACTGGATCAGATTGTAGTCAGAGAAGGAGCAAACTCTAAAACAGAATTCATCTTCCCCTGTAAAAAGTAAGTTCACTCAAAATTTAATATGTAAGAAAATTGTATATAAGAAACTAGCTGGTTGTAAAGTATAGATTGATGATATATTGATGTAGTTGCTCTTTTATCAGGGGGTCAGTTAGCTATTGTCTTATTATCTTCATTAGACTAGTTTCTGAATGCACCAGAGACTGAAATTGAATTTAACTTAACTTATATATTAAAGTTTATATGCGAATTCTCAGATGAATTTAATTTGGATTATTTTTGGACAATCAGGAAATGTCATAAACTAATTTTGAAGTTATTTACAAGTTAAGAGAGTGGACCACTCCCTGAGTGGTGGTCAAATTGTCATAAAATTCAATATGAAATTCTTGTTTGGATTCTTTACATACTAAGTTTCATGAAATTTAGCTAGAATGAAATCAACTAATAAATATTAAGTATTATTGATCAAGAACAATATTGTACTTTGGGCAGTTTGTAAAAATTGAATTATTTTTATTAAAATAAAGTTTAATGCTTAAAATGCAAACAGATGGACAGATAAATGGGTGTCCGTTTTAAGAGAGATGTGTTTGGATAGAAATATGCTACTGGATCGTCATTGGTTGTCTGACGTGTGTCATATATTTCTAGCATGTTTCACTTTAGAAAGTAAAGCTCATAAACCTGAATGTCAATATTTTGATGTTAAATTGTAGGTGGTTGGATTCTGGTAAAGATGACAGAAGAATAGAAAGAGTTCTAGCTGTTAGTGGTAGGTGATTCTAACATCCCACTGTTTGTTGCTGCACGCTTTACACCCATTGTGCCAATCTTCCTCTAAATATATTTTATATAAATTTATTAATTTATGATAATTTATTCAGATTATTTTATTTTTTTAGCTAAAATATATCTTTTAAATATATGTTAAATTTTTTTTAATGTTAAAGTTTTATGAAAATCCAATTACAAGTTATCCAAGATTTGTTCATGAAAATTGTTGTTAACATCACAAACTTAAATGTAATTGTTCACATTTTCCTTTATGTTAAATTTCCTGTATGCATTAACAGTTTCTAACTTCATAAATGTTTCACATCAAATCAATCTTACTTTGATTTATTTTGATTGATAAGATATTTCAATGAGGAACACAGTCGATTCGAGTGTTGGTTCTTTACATGACGTCATTTGCTTGGTTTCTTTGAACAAATGGCATCTTTGGGTTCTGCATGTAAAATTTTGATGACCTTAATAAATCATCTTTTCTTATAATCCCTTGTCAACTCAGCTGTAAATGGGTTAGGATAATCAGGGAAAGATCAATGCCAAGAGGTTTGGACAAGGACGAGCTGTTAGAAAGGAAACTAAATTGTGGACCTAACTTGTTGTCCTTGAAGTATGTAGTTGTGTTCTTGCTTTCTTTCTTTCTATGTATTATATGAGTCAAAGTACCTAGACTGAGATATTCTGATAGAGTATTATTTCCCTGTTAATCTATAGGATATATCATTCTCGGATCGTGAAAAAACATCAACTTGTAGGATGTCAAGTAGACATTTACCCGAATCAGTTCAGACAGTAATGTATTTGACAGTTGATATCTGTTTTGTAAATAGTTTGATTGGATGTGAAACATTGTTGATTCTCACTATTGACTATTTCTATATATGTTTTAAAACCTTTTATCTTGTAGGACCACCTTTATTATTATTATTATAGGGTAAATTATTATTATTAGAATATATATGTAATCTTGATATTATTATTATTATTATTATCATCTCAGATGCATGATTAGGATATCTTCAATATTTATTTTTTTCTCTTCATAAATGAATTTATTTATCCATTAGTAGTTGGAAGTCAAAATAAATTATTGATTGTAAAATTATCTATTAATTGATTAATTTGATATAAGTTAGACATTATCATGAGTTAAATATAAACATATCAGGAATAAATTTGGTATTACAACTTGAATGAAACAAATTCAGAAAGCACCAATATGAGTGGCAGTTTTGCTATGTAGTATAGCAGTCCTCATGCCCACAGCTTAACATGTCAGTATAATCAAAATTAAAACTTTCGTCTCTTTGTTTTTATTAGTTTTTATTTTTAGTATAGCCACTTCCAATAGGTTCTAACAAGTTGAGTTTTGAACATTCGTCAAATTAACCTTTTGACCTGATGACGTTTGCTTTAACCAATGCGGTCAATGTAGTCATTGTGGAACACCCAATGAAAAGCCATGTTTTCTATTTTCACTTTCAGTGGACTTGATAAACTAGTCTATTGCTCCTGATCAACACCTTTTGATCAAGTCACAAATTGCCAACGCTGGAGAAGGCGTAAAGTTGTTTGGTCAAAGCAGGTTAGGTCAAAAGGTTAATTTGACGAATGTCAGACCCTACAGTGAAGTGGCTATACTGAAAATAAAACTAATTAAAAAAAAGAAACGAAAGTTTTAATTTTTATTGCTTAACATGTAGTACAGCAGTATTACTAGGCACTGTAGCATTTCTATTGTGCAAAAAATATCACTTTTAAGAAATTTAGCTCACTATTAAACTTTAGTGCCTTTTTGGCCCACTTGAAATGTTAAATTTTGTCAAACATTTTTATTATTATATTTTTGATACAGTTTCAGTTTTTAATAAAAGATTAGTTAAAAGTTTTTTTGGTTTTTGATAATTGAAATTAGGTGGTCCTGCATTTAAAAGTTTTAAAATTTATTGCACTTTTTGCACTTTGTGTTTTTGTTGTTGTTTGAGTTTGTGATGCTAATAACTAACATTTTTTGAGTTTGGGATTTGAAAAATAATTGTGTGTATTGTGGCTTATGATGTTTTTAAATGCAGGACATTCTAAATTTCAAATCAGTTTTTAAGCCCCTTGTCTTATTAAGAATAACAATTGCATGCATGAAAATGTTCCCACCTCATTAGACAACAGAAAAACTTTATTTCAGCTGTAATATGCAAAGGTTTTCTCGGTTCAACAATGCAGGTTATTTATGTACAATGTATTCTTGTAGCAACAGCATAGTACTGTCTGGAAGATCGCAACAACACACGTTGGGATATAGCCATCTGATTTGCTTTACCAGCTGATAGAACTTTATTTCAGCTACTATTCAGAATGTGGACATGTTGAAATTACAGAAACTTTCTTATTATCAATTACTTTGATAAAAATTCTCCTTTGTATAAAATTACAGATACACCTTAAGTCAAGATGCATTCTGATAAGTGTAGTGATTAAGTACTATTAGGTGGTATAAGAAATAATTAAGCCCAGTTCATTAGCAGAAAGTGAACATTGAATGAAATTCCTGAAAATATTTGACATAAATTTCAAGTGACAGTTCTGTTGTGATTATCATTGCTGTTTTGTGGAGACTGAGAACTGAACTCCATAGTAACACCTGATCCACTTATAGGCTCTGTTATGGCATGCATCATTTATAAAAAAAAAACCTGTTTGAAAGTGACATTGTTAAAAAATAGTCTCCATAATCCATATTATAAGAATATTTGGAATGAATAACAAAACTATTGCTTGAAAATTTTCTGTCAAACATTTAAATTCATAAATAAAGATTTAATCCAGTATAGATAACAAATAAAATCCCATCTAAATGACATTGAAATTAAAAAGAATTACTAAAGACGAACTGTGCTGTCAGACGTTTTGGTATTTCAGTCAGTCATGACATTACAGCCAAATAAACAAAACTGACAGATTGTCTTATAGATATTATGAATTTTTAGATTCTGCTCCACCATCTCCGCTAATAAAAGGTAAGGTAGTAGTTAGAGTGGTCAAAACGAAAGAATGTGTTTTTTACATCTGTTTATATCTTATTTCAGCGAATAGATCTATCTCTTTAGATCTTTAGGATTAACCATTTTATCGCTAGAATTAGCTAAAATTTAGGTGGTGAATTTATCTATAAATAGTTCTGTATTTTGTAAATTTATCTTTTTAGATGATGCAGAGAATACTTCAACTGAACATGTTCACAAAGTCAAAACACAATCTTTGATATTAGATTCAAATCTGCCTGAAACACGATCAAAAACAGAAACAAATGTACAAGTCACACCTCCCCTCTCAGCTAGGAAATCATTGTCTGGTGCTTCAGATCTAAGAAGCCCCAGACCTGTTTCCGCCAGAGTATCATCAAACACACGTCGGAAAAGCAACAACACATTAGACATACAGAAATCAAAATCTTTGAGCCCTACTGATGATTCTAGTCCCATTAATATTCAGTCAAAATATTCAGTTTTACCTCCAATTATTTCCCAAAAATCATCTGAAGCTTTAGAAAAGACCAAAAATGTGGAAAGTGAAAATAATGGCCGAATACCTTACAGTAAAACAAGTTCTAAAGTGGACAGTCTTGAATCGCAGGAATTAGATTCTATTATGGAAGAAGATGAAGATGTACCTCTGACTGGTGAACAAGACCATACCCTTGAGTCTGGTGATACTGATGATAAAGTAAATTCAGATGAAGAGAGGACAGACAAGGACAAAATTTCACTAAATTCAGAAGATAGATTGCCCCCAATAGGTAAAAGTCCTGATCCTGAAAGCAGAACTTCAAATGTCTCGCAACCAGATGAAGAAAGTACAAACGAGAGTGTGTTAGCTGAAAACAAAGACTATAGCACAGGAAATCCACAAGAAAATGATGACAAAAACATCAATTCTCTGTTAGGCATATATACTAATCTTTTTGAGTCACAAGACACAGATCAAGACAACATTAAAGATGAAAATGATACTATTGAAAATCCAGAGAGCAATGTAGCTATTGAAAACCAAGAAAACAATGTGGCTATTGAAAACCAAGAGAACAATGATGTTATTGAAAATCAAGGGAATATTGATGCTATTGAAAATCCACATAATAAGGATGATATTGAAAATCCACAGAATAAGGATGCTTTTGAAAATGCAACTAACAGTGATGCTTTTGAAAATCCTGAGAATAATGATACTACTGAAAATCCTGAGAATAATGATGCTACTGAAAATCCAGAGGATATCGATAATATTGAAAATGCTTATAATAATGAAGCTATTGAAAATGCAGAGAATAATGGTGCTACTGAAAATCCTGAGAATAATGATGCTACTGAAAATCCAGAGGATAATGATACTATTGAAGATGCAGAGAATAATGATCCTAATGAAAATCCGGAGAATAATGATGCTACTGAAAATCCAGAGGATAATGATACTATTGAAGATGCAGAGAATAATGATGCTACTGAAAATCCTGAGAATAATGATGCTACTAAAAATCCAGAGGATAATGATACTATTGAAGATGCAGAGAATAATGATCCTAATGAAAATCTTGAGAATAATGATGCTACTGAAAATCCAGAGGATAATGATACTATTGAAGATGCAGAGAATAATGATCCTACTGAAAATCCTGAGAATAATGATACTATTGAAAATGAAGAGAATAATGATGGTATTGAAAATGCAGAGAATAATAATGATATTGAAAATGCAGAGAATAATGATATTGAAAATGCAGAGAATAATGATACTATTGAAAATGCAGAGGATAATGAGGGTATTGAAAATACAAAGGATAATGATGGTATTCAAAATGCTCAGAATAATGATGATATTGAAAATGCAGAGGATAATGATGATATTGAAAATGCAGAGGATAGAGATGCTACTGAAAATCAAGAGAAAATTGATGATATTGAAAATGCTAATAATAATGAAGCTATTGAAAATGCAGAGGATAATGATGATGTTGAAAAGCCAGTGAATAATGATGCTATTGAAAATCTAGAAGTCAATGATGTTGAAAATGCAGAGAATAATGATGCTACTGAAAATCAAGAGGATAATGATGATATTGAAAATCTACCACATAATGATGCTGTTGAAAATTCAGAAAATAATGATTCCATTGAGAATCCAGAGGACAATGGTGCTTTTGAAAACCCAGAAAATAGTGAATCTATTGAAAATCCAAAGGATGATGATTCTACTAAAACTCCAGAGGATAATGATGCTGTTAAGAATCCAAAGGATAATGATGATAGGCAATTGGGTAGTGATGGTGATGGTAAACCTGACAACAATAAAAATGCAAAGGAAAAAGAGTGTGGGAATGAGTTTGCAGAGACTGAAGGAAGGAAGAGTGAATTACAATAGATATTAATCATGATACAACAGATTCTACCTTGTAAATCATCATCTAAATATATATCATTTATTGAGTTGCAATGTGTGATTTCATCCTGTGTTCTTATGTTTTTTGTGATGTTCTGGAAAACTGGTGTGATATTAAAGAAAGTATAAGGTATCTTTAGATTACTCACAATGGTAAAACAATGTTACCTGAAACATATCTAGGAATAATTACATACACAGTTTGAATTTTAAATTATATAGAACTATCGTTAAAAGATTTGGATTGTCAGCGGTTTAGAAGAATACTTTTGAATCCAAAGCATATCATGTATTAGTGCAACACTAGGATCAAACGCCTTTTTGGTATCATTCTTTGTGAACATGGTACAGTAGAAGTTAATGGTGAACATAGACTAGAGCTTTATAGAAAAGTAGTGGTATGTTAGAGAATTCTTTAAAGTATTTTTCCTTGTTTTTCATAGCTTATTGCCTGCTATTTTCTGATATTCCAACAAGCTTAACTGTTCCCCTTCAAAATGAACTGAGAAATAAATCCATTATCTTGATGTTTTGGAAATGGGACATTTGGCAGGTCTTTGTTATAGAGAAACAGCAGTGCTATGATGAATAATGGAAAAATTTAAGTTTGAGTAATAATATACTTACAAATATTAGTTTGATTGTACATTTTTGACATTTTACTAACAAATATTAGCTAATACATGAACTTATTGATTTGGAGTGAATTTTTTATATCTTACTAACAAATACTTGTATTGATGGATTAGTAGGCTAATTTATGATATCTATAAACCTGGTGTTTTTAACCTTAATGGGCTCTCACTAGATCAGCGGTTATGAACTCAACTCAAATGCAACCAATAGGTTTTTGAAGTATACAGCAAGTACACAGGTGATCACAGACACAAGAAGAGTTAAGGTGGCATCCAGTGATCATCAGTTGTATGGTTGCAAATAAAAAATAGTTCCGATCGTAACTTTTCATGCATCTGATAAGTTTTATAGATTTGACGCACGTGATCTCCAACACAATAAAAGTAAATTCAAATAACTACTTGTGTGTTAAAGCAGGGCCGATTCAGTATTTTCTACCAGTACTAACTTATGTGTAAATTGCTTGCTAACTTAAGAATAAGTTTGTGTTATGCATATTTTATGAGTTGGGTACCTGTTGTGATCGTGTTTCAGTTAAATTGATCGCAGGTATTGGCATAGAATATTGAACATGTTCAAAATTTTTGAAATTACACTGCATGTCTCTACAATCACATGTGTACTTGCTGCATACTTTTATCTATAAAACACATTATTTGCATGTGGATTGCCATTTGATCTTATGACCACTATAGGCAACAGGTGATTGCTGTTACTTAGCTCACCTATAGGTTACAAATTGAGAAAACTAATAGATTTCAGTATATGATCTGTGAGGGCCCCTTTACTAACAAATACTAGTAATGATGGACTAGTGGTTTATGATGTAATTTAACCTGGTGTGTTCTATTCAGTTGATACTAACAAATGCAAGTATGGATGAATTAGCATGCTAATTTATGATGTTAATTAACCTGGTGTGAATTTATTATATCTTACTAACAAATACATGTTTTTTTCATTTGATGTGAATTTGATGAATTTGTATGCTAATTTATGATATTAATTAACCTGGTGTGAATTTATTATATCTTACAAACAAATACATGTTCTTTTCATTTGATGTGAATTTTACTAACAAATACAATGTATTGATGAATTAGTATGCTAATTTATGATGTTAATTAACCTGGTGTAAATTTATTATATCTTACTAACAAATACATGTTCTTTTCATTTAATGTGAATTTTACTAACAAATGCAAGTATGGATGAATTAGTATGCTAATTTATGATGTTAATTAACCTGGTGTGAATTTATTATATCTTACTAACAAATACATTTACATGAAATACTATTCATGTGATGTAAATTTTACTAACAAATACAATGTATTGATAAATTAGTATGCTAGTATGATGTTAATTAACCTAGAGTGAATTTATTATACCTTACTAACAAATACATGTTCTATTCATTTGATGGGAATTTTACTAACAAATACCTGTAATTGTGGATATTTGATTGAAAAATAGTTAGCAAAGTAGTTAGCAAAATAATTAGCAAATGCTTTTGTACTTGTAAAAGGTCTCCTTTTGCATTTTGAAAGAAGCCTAAACAAATTTTGTTTACAATAGAAAGTTATTCTTCTATTTCTACATTATCTTTCAAGTACAATTCAGTTTCCATCTCTCTACACACTGCACATTCTGTATTCTTATTTAGAATCAATCTCTATTTTTTACTACTGAAGTAACCAAAAGCATTCAGTGCCTTTTTAAGAGGGTCTTTTGAGTGAAAGGTACTATGATTAAGATAGAATCATTTTGGCAACTAATGAAGTGATAAAACCAAACCTAAGATTAGAAGATGATACATAATCAGATAATATAAAACTTTATCAATTATCAATCAAAGAATTAAATGACTAAGAGTGAAATAAATTCTCCTCAATGTCATTTTTTTAACCTATCAGTTTTAAGCTCTAGATTACCTCTGGACCAATTTTACCAGTGATTTACCATTTGGGACCATTTGGTTATATATGTTTGTTCATTTGTATAATATTTTGAGTTATGTTTTCAACCAATATTCTAAATATATCTTATTGGGATATCACGAATATCACTCTGTACTATTTTGAATTGTCTAAAATGAATCTTTCAGAGAAAACTGAAGTTATTGAGCCTAAAAAAGATGATAAACCTAAAGGTAGGGATGCAACTTTGATAAATAGATATTAAATATAGCTCTTAAGAAATGATGAATTTAAATCTAATTATGAAAGATATACATACTTGAGCAATGTGAATTTCAAATCTGGATGTTACATTTTATTTGTCTTTCATAATGACTTCATAATCTGACAAAATGTTTATCTATCTCATGTTCATGTAATATAATATTCAACCAATCAAATCCTCTAATAATTAATAAATGATTAAACATGAACTAAACCTACTTAGAAATGATAGACTCAAACTTGATTTACTGACAGTTAAATCCCTCAGCCAGACAAACTCAGTAAATTTTCAAAGAAGTCAACTAAGCCTTCGAACCACATGTATGCCTTCCATGTATTTTTTTTTTATGAGCTGCATGTATACAAAATTCATGAAAACCCAAAAGATACGTGTAAATTTGAATCAGCCAAATCATCTTGATCCTTGAAATTGCACTCACATCAAAAATAAAAAAAAATGACCAAAGTCTGGCATTGATTTACCTACACATCAGTTAAAGATAGCTTGCCAGGCAAGGTAACATACGCCCACTACCAGCTATCAGAAATGGCAGGGGCAACGGCAATATACGTCCACATTTCCATGTGGGTGTAAAAAAAAGTGCAGAACAGAAATAGTTTTTGCCAGGCTTGTAGATTAGATAGTGACAAATCTATCTGGAAGATGGACTGATCTGTTAGAAAGAGTAAAATTGTTTCTTATACATGTATTGATGGTATTGTAAATTATTACAGCTGGAGAATGGAAGGTCTATATAACCACTGGTAGTCAAGATGATATGGGTATAGAGAAGAAGATACTATTATATATCTATAGTGATGAAGAAAATAAAGGACCAATAGTGTTAGGTACAGGTAAAAGAGGTGGATTGTTTCAGCGTGGTCAAACAGATGAAATAAAGGTAAAATAGTCTACAATCTGAATTACCTGACAGGAAAAGCTGAATTTGACCTTTGCCAGATTCAAAGCTCAGACTTGTTAAGCCAACCCTGGCTACCTCGTTAATTTTATATGCCCACATACCCGGTAAATCTTGCACACATTAATATTATACATGTCTATGTTTCATTATGCTAATGATGTATATGGGTTTAAATTTCTGGACTAATTTATGAATGGTTTTTGGGTTACCAAGCAACCAAAATTGAGAATTAAATTGCTGAATTGTTGATTTATGCATGAAAGGAAAATTCTCTTGTATAATCAGTATTTTTGAGTATTTTTGAGTTCAGATTTGAAAATGGAAGATCATCAAATCCTATTTAAATTTTTAATAATTTCAGATTGATATTGGACCTGCTATAAAGAATTTGTATAAAATAAGAATTGGTTTTGATGGTAATAATGGTGGACAGTGGTTTTTAGAAAAAGTATGTGTAGTTGATTTATCAGTTTTTGTTTATTACTAGAAAAAGAACTACCACATACAGTTTATGAAGTTATTGGATTGAAAAATTTGAATTGTAAAACTAAATAAATATTAGCCATGTAGAATGTAGATGAGTTTGCAAAAACATTTGCATATTAGCTTCAAAACAACAAAATACAATATGAAATGAATTTTGAGGGAGGTGAGGCCTGTAATAGGTCTTATTTTGAAGTGAAAATTAAGCCCTCTAAATGCTCAAAATTCAGCTCAGGTTATCTGATAAATATTGTGGCTGCTGGGGCCACCTGCAGCCCCCGTTCCCCAAGCCTCTGTAGAATTTGGCCCTTCCATCCTTGCCTCTGATAAACATCTCTCATTTTGTTCCCCACCATCTCAGGCATTTTCTAGATATGCCACTGTCCATAAATCTTTTAAAGCCTATGATGATACAGTCAATTTTAATAAGTCACGGCCTCTGCAGCTTTGAAGGCATCTTTAACACTTTGCTTAAAATTTCTTGAACACATCGACCAAGAAAGTCCAAAGTTCATTCCCTTTTAAATACAGTGATAAAATTTGATTTATTCTGCAGGTAGTACTAGAAGATTTATCAAGTGGTGAACAGTATGAATTTACTATATATAGATGGTTATCTAGAACACATGATGATGGTGATACATGGAGAGAAGCTGTAGTAGCTTTACCTGGTCACAACTCTACTGCTAGTAAGATTTCTTTCAATACTTCATAAACTTGATAAGGTTGAAATTGTTCATCTTATAATCTTTAAGAATATGTGAAATTCATGGAAATGCAGAAAAAAGGAATGAATCAAATAATTCCCATATCGTTGCATTTGCTTTCTCCCACCAGAATATTTCTGAATAAATTGAGTCAAAATAGGGAGTTAGTCATCTCGATTCTAAATTCATTTGATATATCCTTTATGTTAAAAGATTGGTTGGTTGGTAGATGACAGGTTAATGTTCGCTTCAATTGATGCTGATATCGCATACTAGGTAGTTGTGGGTAGTCGTAATGGTTGGTTGATGGATTGGTTCAAATTGGATGATTTTGTGCTGTTTGGTAGTTTTATGTTAAAAGAGAACTGAATATTTTTGCCCCAATTAGAGCTTGTGGTGCCTAATGGTGCATGCACACGAACAGTCTTGGTTATCGACTAGGACTAGAGTCTTGCCACAAAAATCAGCAACCAAGACTGTTTTTAGGCCCACACCCTTAAGGAAACACTTGTGTAAAATAACATTGGATATTTTTCAACATTTGTTTACAGATACGATATATCAAATAGAAGTAACTACTGGTAATATATTAGGAGCAGACACCAAAGCTGATGTTTATATCAATATTTTTGGTAAAAATGCTGATTGTGGTAAAAGATATCTTCATAAAACAAATTTCAAAGAGAAGCCATTTCAAATGGGAAAGGTTGGATACATTCATTTTATTCAATATGAATCATTAATTAGATTGAACCAATTGTGATTAGATTTTGTGTGTGTATGCATAAACTTAAAATGAAGATCAAGTTGCACTTTTTGGTTTTTAACCTCTGATATATTAGCCTCCTGAAAGCTCACATATTGAAAATATACAGTGTTTAACCAGATTTTGATAACTATTTTACTATAGTTTCTCCAGGTCTCAAACGATTTTCATAAAACTAAGCAATGAAAAAATGAAGTTGGAGAGTTGTGACTTTACAAATAGAAAAAGAACAATAGAAACTTTAGATCTGGATCATATATAGTTGTTAACAAAATAATGAAGATTAAGTGAGAAAAAACAGCACATGCAGAAAAGTGCATATGGATTGGATGCAATCCACTGTCTTTCTTTAGCAATTGAAACCAAGATATCATTATAAGATGAGAAATATGAAAAGAATATTTGTTTGGTTAACATACATATCCCTTTTGTTAAGGCAAATCAGGTGATATGTAAATTTTATTTATATGTTTTTTTCAGAGCAGTCAATTTGAAATTGAAGCTGTTAGTTTAGGAGAAATTGAGAAAGTAATTGTGGGTCATGCTAATAAAACTCCAGGTAGTGGCTGGTTTCTAGAGAAAATCATCATAACTGATATTTCAAATGTTGAAACACATTTTGTCTGCAAGAAGTAAGTTAGAATTTGTTTCGAACAAATTGGGAACGATAACTTTAATCTCTGCTGTGACTTTCTCTTCTGACATTATTCTATGTCCATATTTGTTCTTCAAATTGTGGCAAGAACATCTACAGAAATTTTGGCGCCTAATGTAAAGAAAAATTTTGAAAATGTGACTTTGAAATGAAGAAAAATCTTCCAGGGGGGGTAAGATAAAAGTTCTGTCTGTTGAGGATAACTGGTGATACTTCAATATGAACAAAGTTGCTTTGTGTGTTTACGTTACCTCTCCTGGTAAGCAATATGCCCTTTCAACACTAATACGTATTTTCAGGTGGTTGGATTCTGGAAAGAGTGACAAAAAAATAGAAAGAGTTCTGTACCCTGATATCCAACAGCCAAAACTGGCTCCACCACCAAAAGTCAGAAAAAAATCTACGAATAAACCTATACCAGTGAAGACAGTTCAAGAGAAACCAGTTGCAAAGCAAAAACTTAAACCAATTTCAGTTAGCGGTAAATATATAGAATAGCTTCTTGCACTCAGGGATGCATGATGGCCAATAAGTATATCCTACATATTACATTGTCCCGTATCAAATTCATCAAATATATCTCTTTTTGAAATGTTTCTGGTGAATATGTTAATCATTTATCAGATGGTACATTGGTGTAACCTATTTTCGTGGATATAAGGATTCAACACCGAATTTCGTCAAAGTTAAAAAAACAGAAATTTCTTCTTTTTTATGTCTTAGATGTTTCCTCAGATATTCTACAAAATCCCTCACTTTGATCCATATTTTATGAGTAACTCAACAGCGACAGAATGCGTCACCTTTTTTCGTGTACAATGTTTGATCTATAAATAAGTCTAGAAAAACGCGTATGGATACCCAGTGTTATAGTTAACTTCTCTTAGTATTTATCTTTAATATCAATTCATTATAACTAGTGACAATTCCTTGAAAGAACCATGATGTTAAAATCCGCTTGATGATCACGTGACTTCATTCGTTGGACTACATTCTAGCAGGCGACACTTGGAATTCCGATTACAGCTTGGGATTATAAGGAAATTTGGCCAATAAAAAATTGTGATATTTGGTAATAACTGAAATCCGCCATTTTGTATTTGCTTGAAACTACTGGATTCATTCTACTAGCTGATATTTGTAGAGAAAACCCATGTTTATCAAAACAAGCAAATGCTTTAGACATTTTTTACACACTTTAGACAGATTACAATTATTGACAGATTTGAAAAATGTCAGTAAAACTGTTCAATATTAGCCGTGAAGAAATCCTATCCAAAAAAATTTGATTTTGCTGGTTGAAATCTTTGTTTTAGCTCTTAAATACTCTTTAATATAATTCTTTACAGATGTTGGCAAAACTTTTTTATATCACCAATTTGGATTTGGACAAAACTTGATCAAATTATTAATTACTACCTTAGTCCAAAGCTTAAATTATTTTTTGTTATCAATGGTTACTGTTTGGCCAAATGATCTACTTCAGCCAATATGCCAGTAGTATGTGTATGTAACTCTGTCTGACAAGCTATCTTTTTGATACTTCATTTCAAGATTTTTGAGAATCGTTTAACAAAACTGTGTACAAAAAATATTTTCTCCAAATTAGGAGATCAGAAATAGGTTAATAACTGAGAATCCTGCTATTTTTAACAGATGGTTGCTATGAAGTTTATGTTAAAACTAAAGAAGATTCTCATCCTCCTAATGGTGGTTGGGTTACTATAACAGCTTATGGTAGTAAAGATAAAAGTGAAGCAATCCAGTTATTACCCAAAGAGAATTCTAGAGAAAAATTGTTTGAACCAGGGAATGTTGATGAATTTGAGGTATTTTAATGCTAGGTGATATTTTCAGAAAACATTTGTTGATCAATAATGGAGATTGGTGTGGCCAAGTGATTGTGGTATTTACAGTATCTTCTAAACATTCATTACTTACAGTAGTTGTGCTAGTATAGTGCTGTTTCTACAGGATGATTTTTTTTTTAAAAGTGATTTTTTTGAATAGACGTATGCATATTAATAAGAATTATTAGAATATGCTATGAAAAAATTTTTGTTCACAATCACAAAAAGAGTAGGTATCAATTCTATTTTTTCATGTGACTAGCTTATCCAATCAAAGGAGAGGACTTTGGTTAAAAACATCAGCATCACAGTCACCAAAGATGGCAGACAACAACATATAGGTCCACTTATCAGTCAAAATAATCCTACTCTGAAAAATTTATTCTCCTGTCGAAAACCACCCTTACATATGATAGCTGATATCTGATTTGGAGAATTACTGATTGCAGTCCTGAACTTGCATTTGCATGTAATTTTTAACTAATATTTTAAGTCTTTTGAAGATATGAAATAGATATATTGTTGAAATATTCCTGTATAAAATATTTTTACTGTAGTTATAACTTGAGCTGGGTATGGATTATCAAATTGAAATGGATTATTGATGACAAACTATGATCGATAATCGAATAATAATCCAAATGATTAAATTGAGAAACCCTGTAAATATTAATTTAAAAACAACCAAAATTCTTTATTTCATGGGTTATATTTGCATCATAGAAGTATATTCTTGCTTTGATCAGTTATTATAGCTTATTCTGGTTAAATTAATTGCCAAAGGGAAACTATGTGGAAGAGATTACTACTTGTTAACGACAACAGTGGAGAAAATTTAACTTTGACATATAATCAATTCTGAAATTTGATAATCGATAATTGAAATTATACATTCAAACACAATTTAAGTCAGATGGGTAATCCACTTGTTGTTAATTTACCAAGCAATTGTTTCCATATCTTATATCTGTTCATATGATATGTAAATATACATAAACTATCTATTTCATGAACTGCTTAGTTAAGTTAAGAAAAAGGTTTAAAATCAAAAATGTAGCTAATTATTGTTTTTTTTATAGATTAATGTAGGAGATATTGGTGATCTATATAAATTACAAGTTATGAGAGATGATGAAGAACAGTGGCAGGGATGGCATCTCGAACAGGTTGGTTTAAGGGAATTCAAAATAGGTTTCCACTCTATAGTTTGTTATTTGATGAAATAACTTGATTTTTAAATCGCTATATAAAATAACAATTTGGCTCAATGTTTTTTGTCATTGTCTTCACAATCTGGTCGAGTAGTTTTTCACGCTATTGTGTATTATAGGAGCTTTGTCTGAAAGCTGTTTACTTGTTTCACTTGTCCAGTTTGGTCCAGATCATATTCAGGATCATTGACAGTCCTGAAAACATAAAACATCCTTGCATTTACAATACTAGTCTTGTTATTCATTGTGTTAATTGAATTTTGTGTCCACTATAACTTATATTCTTGGTTTTGAATTAAAGATTCGTCTAGTTGATAAATCAAGTGAAGAAGAATTGATATTTGACTATAATTGCTGGTTGTTAAGAGATGATGTTGGTAACACTTTAGTTCAAGAACTACCTGTTTCTACAGATAACAAGCCTCTCTATCAAGGTAAATAATTATACAGTAGCTACATGTATCAATGTGTTTAATTGAAAGAGTTGCTGAAGCTGTGTTAGTACTTAGAAATATTAAGGATCTTGCGTCATAATTTATAATTTTATACAAAGATGTGTTTTCATCCAATAGGCACTGAATCATCTATATTTACTGAAAAAATGATCATATACTTAGCAATGAGAAAAAAATCTAGTTCATGCACCCAGGAAAAGTCTTGATAAATTTCTTAAGGTGCAGGTACACGAACAGTCTTGGTTGCCGAATTTTGTCACGGGCTCAAATCTTTAGTAAAATCTTGCTTGGGACTATGCTTTCATGACAAGATTATTGCATTGCCAACAGGATTTATAATATCAAACTAGTTTGATATTTGTCTCCAATAGTTTTATCATCTGCAAGACAATGATATTCATTTCCCTTTCAATTGCATGATCCATGCATGATTATCGACATGATTGAAAATGACCAACTGGAGATTTTTGTCTCCTCGTGTGCCTGCAGACTGTTGATGAAACTCTTGACAAGACTCTAGTCACAAAAAAAATTGCCTATCATGACAGTTCATGTGCCCCCCCCACACCTTTGGAGATAGTTTATTTTTGTCATTCATTACAGTTCATACCTACAGAGTATCAATTTATACTGGTAACCATTGGTGTGGTGAAACTAATAACAATGTATTTATTACTATGTATGGTCAGAATGGTGATTCTGGTAAGAGAGGTGTTTATCAGCCACATTTTAAACAACTCAAATTCCGAAAAGGCCAGGTAAGTTTCTGTCCACTAACAATTTTCTAATTGGCAGACTTCTCTAATTCCACATTTACTTGCTCAGTCTGAATAGCAGAGATCAGCTATGATGTCATAGAGGTGTTATATCTATGACATGATGCACAACTTCAACAGTTGTAAGAGTGGTTTGTCCTACAAATTGCCCTACATGTCTTCTATTTTGAGCATATTACGGCTAACCTGATTTCTCCTTGTACATGAAAATGTTTTCCCATCCACACTGTCTTTACTACCGGAAAAAAACCAAAACAGAATGAAAATTGTATTAAATCTCTAAAATCAATTTGGGTATTTGCTTTAGACTTTGTCAAAGAATGTTGAATTTTTTTTACATGTAAAGATACTTGAGTTTTAATCTGAGATTCAGGAGGAATCTAGGCCATGTTTTTGATTGCATTTTGATCAAACTTTATATTCTAGAGTGTTCATGTGTTCCTAATGTTGACTGTATAAATGTACGTTTCTATTAAAATGTAGAACAAACTATAATATTAGGACATGGTACTTTATTTTATAGGTTGAAACAGTTGAATTTGAAGCAGTAGATCTAAAAGAATTACAGAGTGTTATGATGGAGCATGATGGAAAGGGTTTTGGGGCTGGATGGTTTTTAGAGAAAGTAACTATAACAGAGACTACTGGTGACAAGTCACATATAACTTATATCTTTCCTTGTAACCAATGGTTAGATAATGGTATTGGTGATGGGCTAACAGAAAGACGTTTGAAATGTTTAGGTAAGTAATGTATCTTTTTGTTAGATGAATGCTAGACTTTGGCAATTTGGATATTATAACTTAATTTTCTGTCCGTTTCTTTCAATTTGTGGTAAATACTCAAAACCAACAGAAACAATCTATTAGCAGTAAAATGAATTCTGATTCAATCAGGTAAAAATTTAAATAAACTAAAGAAAAAGTTTCCCAGATAATAGATGGCTCATGTAGTAAAAAAATCTCAAACAAAGAAGTATAGATTTGTGTATGTTGAATCTTGTAAATGGTGGATTTTTTTGTTTTTTGTTTACTATGTTGATGAATATACTAAGTAATTGTGTTTTACTACTTATTACAGATATACTGGATACCTCACATAGATCACCAACCAGAACCAAGAGTAAATCAAGTGAGTACATGTATTTTTCCTTATTGGTTATTTGGTTATGGTATAATAGTTGCATTCCATTTTATTTCATACATCTGAATGTAGATATCTCCCCAAAGAGTTTAAATACATACATTATGCATAGAAGGCTCAGGTTCTTTTCTACATGATCAAAGTATAAAAACATGATTTTGTAGTTTCCTTGATTCAGCAGCATTTTCTGTGCAAATTTTTTGAATCTTATTTCTCTCCATTAGAAGTCAATGGATTTGTCAAATACATCTGTTGTATCAAAAATCCTGTTGTGTCAATTTTTTTTTAGATGAATTTGCTGTACAATAGATTTATTAAATTTCTGTTTCAGAAGGAAAATGGAAAGTGAAAGTAAAAACAAGTGAAGAAGAAGGTTCAGGAACACATGCTACAGTATATTTAACTATATTTGGTGATAAAGGACATTCAGAGACTATACCATTAAATACTGGTGGAACTAAGTCCCATGATTTTATTATGGGTAAAGAAACTGACTTCCAGGTTGGTCTTTTTTATCTGTAACACATTTGAAGGCATAAACTCGTTATGTTTTAGTCAGACAGTTCATTTAAAGGGAAGTATTTATCTAAATATTTGCTTTACCAGCTGACAGTGTGACAGACGTCAAGTTTAGTTAAGGTATTTGTATCACTTTCTAGAATTAATGTCTGTAGTCCAGTATCCTACCATTGAGCTTTTAAACTGAAATCACCTGACTTATTCTCGTTATACTTACAAACTCTGTAATAACTGATTCTGTTTATTAATTTAGAATCAAATTTAGAAAAGTGATGCTATAAGTAGGTTACTAATCAACTGGTAAAGAAAATAATCAGATAACATCTCACTATTGAGTGAATTAAAGTACTTAATATATGCATCAGTAACCAAAATGATCCTCAGTTAAATTAAATTGTTGAAATATATAGAATTTTAAACTTCTGTTTGTTCTGTTTATTGTAGATAACCGTAGGAAATATAGGAGAAGTTAGTAAAATAAGATTAGAACATAACAATGAGAATAAAGATCCATCATGGCATTTAGATTGGGTAAATGATTTTGATTTTACAAGACTTTATTTTTACCAGGCCAACTTTAGCACAGATATAAACATTGCTGGTGCTTGAAACAAAGCGTTCTGCTGCAATTTAGAAATTTCACCAGCTGAGTTAGTTAACTTGTGTGAACATGCACCATATGATAAGATATTTGATATTTTCGACCAAATTACCAATCTATAGTGCAAGACTAAGGAGCTAAAATGGAAAACATATAGAATGAGACAATAAGTGGAGGGCTTGTGGGCCACAAGCTGTGCTTTTTAAAGATCTCTCAATATGTGGTGCTAAAAACGGAGAAAGCTATTGTCAATCTCTTGGCAAAATGTCTTAGCATGATATTGCCCATTTTTCATTGTCCAGTAAGCCAGCTGGAATTATAGGACACAAAACATGATTTGTATGATGTCCAACAGAACTTATAAATCAGTCATAATATACAACGGACAGTAATATCATGGCATCTGTTGTAGGTAAAATTACTGTGTGAAGAAACAGGAGAAGAAATAGTATTTTATGGTAATTGTTGGCTATCAGATAATCAAGGTGATAAACAGATCTGTCGTGAATTACCAGTTATTAAAACAGGAAAACCTTCATTACCTGGTAAGTAGTGATACATTACTTTTCATTGTGTATATCAATCTTATTATTTGATCATGTTACCCTCCAGAATTAGGTAATGTTAGAAAGATCTTCTTCTTCTTTCATAATATATTTGATTTTGTCTGATAAAATGAAAAATCCATTTTTACTTGTTAGTTAGATGGTGGTTTTGTTCTCAAAGATTAACAATTAATATAGAATATCACTGTATCAGGTAGATTATCTTATGAATAAATATTTTCAGTTCTGCAATATGTAGTAAGTTTGGAAACTGGTAAAGATCTACAGGCTGAAGCTAGTGAAGCTGTTATTTCTATTAATATTATTGGTGAATTGGGAGAAACAGGAGTAAGACCACTAGTTAATTCTCTAGCTGGTAATAAAGTACTATGGAAATCAGGAAGTCTGGACTATTTTACTATAGAAGCAGTAGATGTTGGTAAAATCCAGAAGATAAGAGTTTTGTTTGATGGAGATGGAGCAGGTGAGACTATGACAAATTAGCAGCTTGGTGGGTAGTCTGAAACATCTGCCTCTATTACAGCCTCTGATGGATATTTGACAGTAGAGTCAGAAAAATAAATGTTAGTATCACGTGAATCTGTGAACTTTTAACTTTTGGTTGCACATGCAGTTTTAAATGGCCGATGCTAGATCAGTTTCACCAAAAAAAATTTGATGGAACTGGAGATATGGTGTAAGGGAGTATGACTGAACTACAAAAATATTCATCTTTCCAATTATACCTGGGTTTTGCAGATTCGTGGTATCTAAATAGATTAAAAACCCTCTCACCTGCGGTATGCGGAATGTCCCCATTTAACAAGGCCTATTTTTTCTGTCTCTACGTCAGCTGACAACTGTCCAAATAGCTATCAGAGGCTGGAATATAGACAGATGTTTCAGTCTACTTGGTGGGAAGAATTTATTGTATTCACAGTTCTGATAAGCCATCAGTGTGTAACCTGCTGTGAAAGATATCTAATGTTATAAAAATTTGAGATGATTAAGCACTTTTGACAGATTATTAATGGAATAATGGATTATTAGTTTATAGTTTTGAATAATAATCAGTGATAGCCTGATAATGACAACACTGAGTTTATGTTATTCTAGTTTTGGATTCTGACCAACAGGTTTTATTCAACCTATGTTTGATGTCTATTAGAACCTTGTCGAATGCAGCATTTGATCTATTCTGCTGATCATGTTTGGAAAATAGAGCCAAACTAACAGCACTGAGTTGTTCTTGTGTAATGATAAACAGTAAAAACATTACAGAACATTGTTGGTTTTTTTTTGTAGAGAAAAATTGGTATTTAGAGGGAGTTTCTGTCCGTGAAGCTCCTGCAGCCATTTTGGAAACTGTGTTTCTTTGTCAACAATGGTTTGATTTTCATAATAAATCTTCAGATGTCACAATTGAGTTTTTTCCTAAAGGTAATATTTGAGAAACTGGACTGTTATTCCAAAGGAAATAAAATATAAATGCAGGTGATCAATAATCAAACAACAGAACAACATTATCAGCTGAATCCCTGAGTCAGCAAGTGCCAACAGAGTGGAGTCTATATTTGTCTATTTACAATATTTGCACTTGTAGTTTTATATTATTATCAGTTGGTAACAATTCAGGGTTTTTGTTTGAGATATTCACAACAACTTCTACACGTAAATGAATGTTAATGGGGTGAATCAGTTTTTTTTAATTATTGAGAAAGGAGTTATGATAAGCCACAAAGGCATAGTAATGGACAATCTCATTAATATTTTTGATATTAAAACTTTTTTTTGACAGAGACTAAATTTGCCAGTGCCTTGCCAAAATCTGTTGTCAATAACCTCTTTACCAAGCAACCACCATCAAAAGGAAAATGGGTTCTTACTACATATATTGGTTCAGAGGGTGAAGTAGAACCTGATGATCCAGTCTATGTTACAATCTCTGGAACAGCTGGACAGAGCTCACCTATTCAAATCAACAAAAATAGTGCCTTAAAACCAAATAGCACTGTGCTGACTGAGGTAAATAGAAAAGTTTTATGATTATGAAGGTAATTGTCTTGACAGTTACTAGAATTAATCAATTGTGTTGATGAGAATCTTCATCATTACTTTACTTTTGTAGATATCTGTACCACAAAGCTGTTTTATATTTTCTAGGTCTCCTTGGGTGATATTGGTACTATTTATAAGTTACAGGTCAACTTGGATATAAACAGTACTGAATCTTTCAACCTAAATAGGGTAAGCTTATCAAATGCGGTTTATGTAATAGAGAACATAATGCTTGTATTTGCACCATTTTGCTCTCCAGAGTGACATTTATGGTTTCTGTAGGTCTTGAATAACTTGATTTACTTGGAGCTGGAATGCTTTGGTATCACAACTTCATAATCTATTAGCTTTTTAAGTGTTCTGATACCCATTGATATTCATATACCTTGAGATGGTGTTGGTAATCTATTTCAATGTCCCAAACTGATATATTAGATTTAGGATCACTGTCTTACTTTTTGCTTTCAAAGCTATTACATGACTGCTCATTCAATTTTCTATTAATAAAATGTTCATTTAGATGAAACTGAAAGATAAAGATTCGAATGAAGAGTATAGTTTTGAGGTTTATGATGTGATCAAGTCAAGTAGTGCCAATCCACTTGGTTTAAAACTTCTACCTGCTACAAGACCTGATGTACCTCCTCTACAAGGTATGACCACATCTAATCATAGTTTGGGTCCTTTTACCGACTGATGTAAACATTGAATAGACAAAAGTACAAAAAGTAAATGTCAACAGAAGAAAAACACAGTTGATATTTGCTGGGAATACTATTTGTTCCTGTTCTTAGCCTAATTTCATTCAAATTGACAAAAACTGTTTTATATAAGTTCTTAAAGGGATTGTAAAGAGGATCTCTAGATTTTTTTGATATGTGTCAGGGAAACTGATAGCACCAATTTGCACCATTCCAAATGGCAGTGGTTCCTGCAATTCCACTAAAACTTAGTTATTCACTTATTGCAAAGGGCCATATGTGATAAAGCATATTTTGTGATTAGTGATGTCATAAAACATGTAAAACGTTTTTGTGGAATTGAAAGAACCGCATACATCTGATTGAAAATTGGAATGGTGCATATTGATGCTATCATTTTCCCCGATACACATGAAAAATTTAGAAAACCTTATTACATTCCCTTTAAATGAGTTTCAGATATCAAAACCATTACCAGTACAGCTTGATGAAAACGGCCGATAAAATTTTATTTGAGATATAAGAATTGACATGTCTATTTCCTTTTCAGAAAATATATATGTAGTCAAAGTAAAAACAGGAAGCCAACCTCTCTCTGAAACTGAGGCAAGAATCTACTGTTTACTGATTGGTAGTTTAGGTGAATCTGGAGAAATGATATTGTCTAACTGTCGTCTGGGTAAAGGATTATTTGGCAGAGACCAGGTCAGTATAGTTGAAAACTGATTAAAAATCTGAAAATATAGGAATCAGCTTAGAACCAGCTTTATTGTTGAACATGTTGTGTTTACAGTTTTACACAACTTGTTCGCAGAAAAATTTAGCCTCAATCACAAAGTCGCATATTATTGATAGCTTGCGTTGTACAAGACTACCGTTTAATTGGAAGTGAATTATTTGTAAGCAGTATGCCTCCTATTGCCTAAGGACATAAAGCTAGCTTTTATATTTCCATTGAGTAAAATGAAAGTCGGCTTTAAGATAGCTTTCATTTGGCCCAGGATAAATTGCCAAATGCAGAAAGAGAGGTTTTCAGTTCGCAAACTGTTCCAAATTAGCAACTTGGTACACTCCTGGTATCACTACTCTAAGTCCCTTGTACAATATTGAAAACCCATAGACATTTGGTTGACCATTATATTCAATATATTCATATATGTATGAACTATTTGTAGGAGAATGAATTTGAAGTAAGAAGTTTAGATATTGGTTGTATTAAGAAGATTAAGATAGGACATAAAGAGTTTGGTCGAGGTTGTGGATGGTATTGTGATAGAGTCATCATCTCATCTCAATCTAAACATTCTCAACAATATATTTTTCTTTGTGACAGGTAGGTTACTATGAGTAGTTTTACTCTTGTATAATGAATATAAACAGTGAATCAGAATTTCCAAATTGTCAATATGAATGTGCCAACATATCCAAGGATCTATCTGTAACTGTATTAGTTTCCACAAAATATTTGATTCTTGCTCTTACCTGTTCAGCCCCGTCTTTAGGGTTGGGTCCTTGGGGGCTGGACCCTAGTAAGTAAGAATTAAGACCCAGCAAAACCTTCAGTTTAGTAGAGATTGATTCATTTACAATGTCTTTGTACAAAATCAAAAAGATATATAGATTTTGAGACGTTTTTTGCACTGCGATATAGTCAGAAATGAGTTCTCTGGGCCTTTAATTCCTCCAAGTAAAAAATCTTGCCAACGACAGGCCTGTACCTGAATTATTTCTAATGTTCTATTAGTTACATTATTTATGCATATTTGGGTTCCATCAAAACGTAAACGCAGCCTACCCACTTTCCATTTTTAAAGTGAGGCATTTGGAGGTATTTTTCTACATGTTCAGATGAGTAATTGAAAATATAACAGACAGAGTGTATTTATGTTTTGACAGTACCTGGATGTGTTTTACAATTTTTCCTCAACTGTAACATATGGACATCTGAGAAAACATTGTAAACATTAGATACAAAGAGAATTTGTTTCTTGTAAACTTGCAGGTGGTTAGATTCTGGTTGTAATGACAGAAAACTGATGGTAGAGTTATCCCCCTTAGCTAGTCTGCCACATCATGATAATGTTCCACAACCTGTAAAAACTAAATCTAGTAAGATTGATTCTCCTTCAATATATAATACAAGGCATGCTTTGTACATTGTAGACATCTTTCACAGGAAAATTTGCAATTTTTGAATTTTTTGTTTAAATTATACAGCTGCTTGAACAGTATATTTAAGCTATTTAAGCGAAAATGAATGGGTGGCCCAGAAAAACACTTTTCAATTTAGGATTTTTTAAAAAATATTAAAGCTTCGATCATGATATTTTGACCTCATATTTACATGGATATTAGAAAGTTGAACTAATGTTCATTGAGGATGACATTTTCAGCAGAAACAAACCCCCAAAAAGCTCTTTCCATGCAAAAATTGCCTTCTGAATTTTGAAATATAAAAGATGAATGGCAACCTCAAAATCCTTATTACAATCAAATGGTTTACAGTTTTTCCTCGAGATAGCTGGAGGAACTGATCAACAGAATTAGAGACAAATGGAATAAAATAGCACTTGAACAAACCATACAGGCAATATCTTGTAATGGAAAATAGGAATTATAGTAAATACTTTCAGCAAATATAGCTTTGATACTTTATAAAAAAAAACTGAATTGAAAAATGTTATCGTTTTTTCTGGCACACCCGATATAAGATTTAAAGTTGTAATAAGGGAAATATTTTGCATTATCATCTTTGGGAAATACTTTATGAAATACAACTCTTTATTACAATCGCTGTTTCAACTGATGAAGACTAGATAAACCTGGTTGAAACGTAGCCTGTAATAAAGATATTAATTGTATTCTATAGAGTATTTTCTAATTTATAATTCGTGTCAATAACTTTATGCCATTTAAAGAATATCATCTTTGATTATGTATTTAAAAAGTAGAAAATTTTCTTCTATTAATAGAGGGTATATGGATGTGTTCTGTTGTAACAGCTACTGCTGATAAAATATCTCCATCATCTAATAAAAAGTCAAGGCATGTTTTTATCAGTGTGTTTGGTAACAAAGGTGTTTTTGGACCAAAAGAATTGGCTGATAAAAATCGCACATTATATTTAGCAGGACAGAAGGACATATTTCATGTAAGTTACTGACGAATTTGGTATATAATTTAGTTAACAATGTTAATGGTTTGTATAGTGAAATGAAATTAATGGAGTTTTACATCCTACTCTTCTGCTAATGAAGACAGGTAATACCATGCAGTGTGCAATGAGGTAAATTTTGCCAGGACAGTGGCATTATCCTTTTTTTTCCATTTCCAATTGTCATGGGATTTTTAACATGCACAGCCTGTAACACAGGGCCTCAGTTTTATTGTCGCCTCGAACAACTACACGTTTTATCTATGTCAACCCCTCTGACCGACCTGCATCACTGTCATGAGGAAACAGGGAAAGGTTTGTTAAGTGGCAATGTAATTGCTCAACAAAAGGCACAGGGTTAAAGTAGTGTTCAATATTCTCAGAAAAATTCTTTACAACTTGTTAATGCTTTTAACACAGGCCCGAAAAAACAAAACAATGATATCATATTTTGTCTAAAAATCTATTTTAATAACCATCTCAATGAAACAGTGACTCAATGTTTTACCTAACCTGAAATAGAAGTTTACCTATTCAAGTATAAGTATAAAATACATGTAACAAAATAGAGAGGAAACACAGTGGCTCAGTGAGTTAGATGCTTGCTTGCTAACCCGAAGGTCCAGGGTTCAATCCTGGCATAGGTCAAGAATTTTTCAACCCGATTTCCCCCTGTCAGTGATGTAGGTAAGAGGTGCTGACATGGAAAAAACATCTAGTCGTTCATATGGAACAATAAACTGAACAGCTAAACAGCTACAGGCTGTGCACGTCAAAGATCTCGTGACAGTTGGAAATCGAAAAAGAGCAGGCTAATGCTGCTGTCCTGGCAAAATTTCCCTCATTGTACCCTGCATGGCGGTGCCTGTCTTCATTAGCCCACATGATGCATAAAAATAGGACGTAAAACTCAACTGAAATAACCATCAACCAGTATGTAGAAATATGTGTTTATTTGTAGTAATATTCAGTGATTGCTGATGATTGAAATATTGTGTGATTATTCAAATTGTAGGGTTTAAATCTGGGTTCTATTGGTGAGATACAGAAAGTAAGAGTTACTTGTGGACTTGAAAATGATGTAACAACAGAGTGGATAGTTGAACAGGTAGACCTTTGTTGATTTACTTTAATGCTAAGATCAAAAAATAATCATATAGGTATTTGTTTACATGATTAAAGCAACTGTATTGTGAGATTGGCCAATTGGCTTCTTCATTTGAGCCATGTTAGACCTGTAAGCAAGTTGTTGTGATAACCAACTCATGGGGCTAAGTTGGCTAAGTTGTTAGACTATGACTCCACATGACTTTAGTTTACTATGGCTATATTATAAAGTATAAAAATTAATGACTTTAAAATATAGACTGAAATAAGGGAGGGTAATATTGCGTTATAGGAATATTAGTTTTCTGCAAATACATCACTAAACAATGATCAATGAGTAACACCAGATAGTGTACAATTTCGAACAGATACTTATGACACCCAGCAAAAGTTTCATACGCAATGATTGATAGCAAAAGTTGACTTCTGCCCAGCATTAAGCTGCTCGTTCATCTAGTTAGTCAAAAATATCATGGTGTTGGCTTGGAAAGGTGAACAGTGACTGATGGCTACAGCTTACAAGTCTAAGCCACATTGATAAAGACCCATGTCCCATATATTTTGCCATCAGCCAAATTTCACAGTTAAAAGTATTAGAGAAAATATTTTATTGTATAAATTACAGGTGATACTACGAGATGAAGAGACAGGAGAACAGTATGTATTTGATTTTAGTGCTTGGGTTGGTGATAGTAACCATGGTGATATACACAGAGAAATGCCAGTTATTAAATCTATTGAGAATTTTGATAGTGGTAAGATATAGTTCTGTAATTTTACATGACAATTCTGCAATACAGATGTAATATTCTATAAAGGAACAGAACGAAAGATTTCTCTTCATGATTTTCCTCCTATATTCATTTGTATTTGCGTGGTTTCTGTGTAAGACACTAAAGATCTATTTGGAAATCAAATAGGTGTTTGAGTTGTTTAAGATCTGTTTTCTTTTTTCAGTTTTGAATTATTATGTCAGTGTTCACACATCCGAAAAGAAAGGAGGAGGAACAGATTCACAGGTTTCTCTTACTATATATGGAAAACATTCTGATACTGGCAAGCGTAAACTAGTGCCTGAAAATCCCAAGACTATATTATTCAAAGCTGGGCAGGTAATACTTTAATTATTTAAGAGAAATATGTTGTAAGGTATTTGATCTAAAATTTTCACTGTCTGATTATTTAGTCTACATTTCCATAACCACAACTCTAGTGCATCTATGTACATAAGACCGAAAACTGTACTGATTCACATGCAATCAAACTTAGCATCTATTGATTACTCATTACCCTATGTTTGATTAATTTCCATCTTCATGTGTGCCTTGGTGATAAGTATGTTATTTATACAAAATGCTAATTTGAGATTTATGATGTGTTCCTGACACTAATAATGATATTCAATAAGTCAATACATGTGTATGAACAAATCAATTTTTAGGTGGATCATTTCTACATTCAATCTGTTGACCTTGGTGACCTTGATAAAGTTTTGGTAACCAAAGGACCAGGTGAACCTTGGTTATTAGAGAAAATCGTTGTCAAAAAACAAGAATACTCAAGTGAAGAATATGTGTTTGAATTTAATCATTGGTTGAGTAAGGACAGTCGAACTAAAGTATATGAAGATACTCAAACTTTAACTGCCATAAAACCTAGCAATATAGTCACTCCAATTCAAAACAAAACTAGACTACAAAAATCTGGTAAGTTTATTACATGTATTCATTGATAAATAACATCATCAGGTGAAATGATGAAATTTAACCTTGTCATTATGTGATTTGATTAAAGGAACAGGTTAGCCATCCATTTTACCTTAGTCTCAGAAACGGGCATTTTTTAGCCAAGCTAATCAGTAATAGTGTTCACAGCTCACCGTTTTGTCCAGAATCATCCACGTTTAAATGACTACTCACATATTTTTCGGACTTTGCCATACATGGAAAAGACATAAATAGAAAGTGAAATTCCTAGTTTGAGGTATTTTGAAGGTATTATGCAATTTTCATACATTTCTAGTACTTCGGAAAACTATTTACATATATTCAAGTCCCAAATCCACCCCCAATATTGGTGAACCTGTCCCTTTAAGGCCAAGAATTTATGCAGTTGAGCAAGCATTAGCTTTGAGCTATCCCTGTTTTGTTGTATTTCGCTTTTGCATCAAAAACATTACTTTCTGATTATATGATGGATCCAGCCCCATCGTCATGTATAAAATTCATTCCCAAGCAACAGGGCTGACTGGATCACATTATTAGATATGCAGAGTTCCAGCTTGGCCCATTTAATTACGCTTCAAACATTATAATCTCCCTTACAAGGCTGCCTTCAGGACATTTACAAATATTACAGATACTAATGTAGGCAATATATCTTTGACAATTTCAACTGTGTAATTACAGTTGATAAAAATATAAGCTTGAGTACACATTATGTCTTCAAAATTTGTTTTTACACAGGACAATTTGCGGCCAAAATTTGTAACTTTTTGGGTAGAAATTTCTAGGAGGGAAATGTGTTTCTTTTCCATATTAACTTACAAAATATATTTTTATCAATTTAAAGTCATTCTAAGACTAACAGTACTATTTTGAGACTGATATTCCAATTTAATAATAATTAAAAAATATCGAAAAAATTCAAAAAACATTTTCATTTGCTGAGACAATAGGTTTGCTTCTGGACTAAAATATCTCTCACCATTAACATTTATTTTTCAGAAGGAAGGTATAGAGTGTTCACAGTGACTGGAATTGGTCAGTCCACAGCTCATGTGTCAGATATTCTTCTTACTTTCTGTGGTAAACAATCTGAAAGTTCACCAGTATCATTAGAAGGTGATGGTGATGACAACTTTCAACCTAATCAAAATAGAATCTTTCAGGTAAAATACTTATTAATACTGTTTTCAGAAATTATCATCCATTAAAAACAAAAGCCATTGACAGAAACATAAGGGAATCTGAGAGAAGCTGGACACCTCTAGTTACAATAACAGTAAGAAGTCCTATGTTGGCTGATGTTGACAAAACAAGAGAAAAATAGTTTCTAACCCACATTAATTGTCTATATTCAATTATTAGGTTCATATGAATGATGATGTTGGTGAATTATTTAAGATGAGAATTGGTTTCCGTGACAACATTCAAACTAAATCATGGAAATTGCAGCAGGTAAAATACTCTTATGCATATTTTCTAAGTTGAAAACTTTCAGTTTAAGCTGTTATTACTTTAAAGATGGTGGATCTAACCTTGGCTCATGGTGACTGTGACAGATAGATCTCATAAGATACTTTGAATTGCAAGTAGACCAAAGCCCCACCTTTAGTAGCAACAAATATATTAAAATGTTTAATTGATTTCATCGTGATTTATATAGGATGCAATGAGCATTTGCCATTTAAACGAAGACCCAGCAAAAACCCACTTTGTGCATTCTATAACATAATTGAATGCAGAGTAGAGCAATCAAAAATGGTTATCTCACGAGTTCAACCATTTATTTCAATGAATTTACATCTGAACCCAGTCAGTTTTATAAATTACAGTATAAGCTCTGTTGTAATAAAGGGAATTTCAAGTAAACATGTTGTCAGAAACATCTTCCTCATTTCAAACTTGTGAATGCTCTTTTGACAGTTGTCGGCTGGAGAAGGCCCTGCTTTGTGGGGATTTTCCACACCCCTTATTTACCTCAAATCTGAAAAAAACTGATATATTTGGAAAGATGGATACCTTGTAGTTCAGTCATAGTTGCAGATAATTCCAATAGAACAAAGCCTAGTTTTTCTGACTCTACTCCAGCTGTCAAAATAGCTATCAGAGGCTGGATAAGGCTGAATAAGATGGTAATTTATAAATATTCAATATACAAAGTAATTAATATATCTTACAGATTGTTGTTCAAGATATTGATACACATGATAAATTTAGTTGGTATTTTGCTGAAGGTGTTAATATTGACGATAAAAAAGATGGCTGGGTAGAATTTCCAGTTGAATGGCCAGGAGTAGCACCACTTCCAGGTATGGTTCCAGTGTCTTTAGATTGGTTATCTTAACATTAATATAGTATCAGTGCTGCCATATATTTAAAGATGGGTTCCCTCATTTTCATTTATGAAAATCAAAATGCTAATACTTATATGAATAGAAAGTAGATGTGTTCTAATGACTTGGAAAAATACCAGTTTGTCTCACATGTCCATAATTAATTCATAATTAACTAAATAAGACGAGAATTACCAGCAGAATTCCAATGAGTGGCCAATCAAAAACGGTCAAAAAGTCTTTTTTTGTTTATCCAGACTGTACATACATGGACATTTATGATTGGTTAAAACTTAAATTGTGTCAAATCAACTTGTCAACATAATAAAGATCCAATTTGGATGAATTTTTGGACTAGACTCTAAAAGCAAGTTTACAAGGCTAATGAGTCAACACATCTCCTACAACCAAAATATGAAGAAACAGGATAGATAACTGCAAAAGACGGCTTTAAAAGTTTTAGAAACAGGTGTGAAAAAAATAAACCTTTGCACCATTGAGTCATTTTACATAACATAATAGATTAAACTAGAACAATGACTGACAATACTTAAGTTGTTATGTATTCTATATAGATATATATGATATTAAAACAGAACCTGAATCATGTTGTTACTTAGAGTTTAACGCTACGCTATCTTCAGACAACTGACCATTATTGAGCACTATTTTAACAGTGAAAATAGTTTATTATTGTAAATATATATATATATATTGTAGTGATTAAGTATGATATAGATTTATATGGTGATGTTAAAAAACCACCAACTAAAACTCCTCTACATTGTCAATTATATGGTGAAAATGGTACAAGTGGTAACAGAATGCTCAAAAAACATCTGACTGGTAAAAACCAACAAGTATGTCTTATTTCTTAAAATGAACAATTCTATCTCAGATTAGAAATACATGGAACCTGAAGTGGAAAAAAATTAATATTAACAGAATTATTTCTGTCATCAGGGAGTAATGATGGCTCCTAGGCACTTGCATTCTAATTTTCATGATACTTTCCATCTCATCATAGGCTGATGGAACAAAAGACTGATGTTTGTTTTGCTACTATAATTGCATGTTGTAAATCCCTCAAGTATTGGAAATGAAAATTAAAAAGCTAGAAAATGTTAAGGAATAGCATTGTTATTGACATCATAGGCTATAACTGCTATTGAAGTTTAGGGTATATAATGTTTTATTTCATTTACACTCAGGGTTCAAAGGGTTAAACAAGATTCTATCACCAGATCATGTAATGTTTTTCTTGTTACTTAGGTTTTCCATTATGAAATTGAGGCTGTACAGTTGTTTGATATAAATGAAGTTTTAATTGGACATGACAACACTAAGAAAGGTAAGAACTAGGTCTGTCATGTCTTAAGTAGGTCTCAAATGACCAATCAGTGCTATCCCTGCTGTCTTATGGGAGCATGTCTGAGAGTATCTAGAGTAAGGTACAGGACTAAATAATGGGTACAGGGTCTCCTCTAAAGTACTGCTCTTTAGGTGGATGATAGATTGGCTAACCTTGGTCATTAAAAATATGATGATCTCTTGTCATTAATGAATCCTTGTGCATTAAACATTGAATATGTACATTTGTGGTGTGCATTTGACCTAATTCTCATTTTTTTGGTGAGCAACTGTCCGTTGAGAAATTTACCAGTGAGAAACTTTTAGGTGAACAATCGTCCGTACCTCCGAACGACAAGTGAGAATCTGTTTGTAAGCAATCTCCATATCCCTGAACGACCAGTAAGAAACTGTTTGGTGAGCAATTATCTGTACCCCCGAATGACCAGCAAGAAACTGTTTGGTAAGCAATTATCTGTACCCCCGAATGACCAGCAAGAAACTGTTTGGTGAGCAATTATCTGTACCCCCGAATGACCAGCAAGAAACTGTTTGGTGAGCAATTATCTGTACACCCGAACGACCTGTAAGAAACTGTTGGGTGATCAATTATCGGTACCCCCGAATGACCAGCAAGAAACTGTTCGGTGAGCAATTATCTTTACCTCCGAACGACCTGTAAGAAACTGGTCGGTAAGCAATCTCAATATCCCCGAACGACCTGTAAGAAACTGTTTGGTGAGCAATTATCTGTACCCCCGAACGACCAGTAAGAAATTGTTCGGTAAGCAATCACCATATCCCCGAACGACCAGTGAGAAACTGTTCGGTGAGCAAATATCTGTACCCCCGAATGACCATACAAAGTTGTCATAATATATATATACATAGGACAGAATAATATGTAGCCATTTTCATGAATTTAAAATATTTGATGCTCTAATATGGCAACCATAAGATAAATATAGAAATTAAGATTTTGAAATATTTGAAAAACTTGAAAACGGCCCATAGACACTTTTATTCATGAAGTGAAGCGCCTATAACGATAGATACAATAGATAATAATTTTAGCAATTTGCTAAAAGCACAAAATTAACTCAATCATGGCTCACAGAACTTAGGTAGGATATGTTTGAGATTCAAGAGGGTGGGCAACATTGACAACAAATAAAAGGACTCGTTCTAAGATAATAGGATTAAAGTCAAAAAAATATTATTTTTCGTCTATTTGGCAGATGTAACTGTTCAATAATCAGTTATTGAGATTATTGGCAAGTAAACTCAGGAACTCAGTTTTGCTGCTGGTCATTTATTTAAGGCGATTAATTTATACCACATCCTGATAATCGACCATCAAAGCAAGTTGATATGATTCGCTTAATTAGAAACGTCTTTATTTGTTGGTGTGATAAAAGCACAAGTTTTCATCCTTAACACATCTTTTTGAAAGAACTTTTACCTAAGAAAAGAAAAGTGGTTAAAGTGAAAATGTCACAAGAAAGTATGAGATATATATGTTCAGTTACTGAATCAGAATAATTATGAACATGTAAGAAATTTTGCATATTTGAACCATAGGTGCTGGATTTCATCTTCAAAAATTACAAGTGAAAGAGTCCATTGAAAATGGTAAAGAATTTACATTTGAATGCAACCAGTAAGTATTAGTAAATACTCTAGTATGTAGAGTGTTGGTTTCTTGGTGGTGGTGTCCATGTCAGGATCACAATGTATGATTCAGAGGATGTAAACCCAGGAAGGAATAGGGCCATGGGCGCATTGGGCTGGGCTGGTTTGGGCTGGTTTGGGCTGGTTTGTTGAAGTGTTTACTGACCAGTGTGGGTTTATTTAGCCTGATGTGTTTTTTGAGATGATCACTGTATAAAACAGTTTATTTTACCACAATATTACTTCAAAATTGGATTTTATAATCTTAATAGTGGACAGAAGATAAGTACTACCTAAGCCAACTCTTTATCTAACTCTTTTTGGCTGATGAATCTAACAGCTAGTTGCTGTAGAGTTTTAATCGAAATATGAGACCTTCAATGCTTTGTAATTTTGTTAGGAATCTCACATTGATGTTCTATTGGTTGATTTTTCCCTTTGTTTGGTTGAAGGTGGTTTGATGTTGGGCAGGCGGATCAGAAGATAGAAAGAGTTCTAAAATTAGAATCAAATAAGCCTCATCAACCAACAACTACACCTGTTAAAGCAAAACCTTCCCCACAACCAGCACCACAACCAACACCACAACCAACACAGAAAAAACGTAAGTATACAAAGAAAGAAAAATGTAAGTTCATTTTCTGTCAATTGTGATCTTTATTAAGCAATATTTTCTAAATCTGATTTTAGCACCAAGCGGTGATTGGAAAGTGGAGATTTATACCTCTGATAATATAGAAAATTCAGGCACTGATGCTAATGTTGTTCTGACAATATTTGGTAACCATGGTAATTCTGGTCCTCTCCCTTTGGGTGAACCTGGTATTGGTTTCTTTGAAAGTGGACAGAAGGATGAATTTGAGGTGAGTTTTTTTCATACCTATACTTTAATGGCTATTCTTTAATAATTTTTTGTGAAAATTTTGATGCAAATTGATATATTGATCTGTTGAAAGGTCAAGGAATAACTTTTAAAAAGGTGGCTTGAAATGTAAACAGTGTTTGTAGATATAAGCTCCGCCCCTTAACCGACTACTTTTATCATTGAGTTTGATTGAGGCGGCCACTACACTGCTACGATGTTGTTCCTTTGAACATCAACAGAGCTGAAATCAAAACTTCAATAAATCATAACAGTATTTTCCAAATTTCCTCGAATGTGTACACTCCAAATTCCAACAATATCATGAATTTTGGACTTATTTTGAACTCGTCTTTCAATATTTGTACTTTCAACGAGGTCGCTGCATCAACTTTCAGGTAGTACTATAAATAGGGTGAAAAAACCTGAAAGGACTGAAAAACCTGAAAAACCTGTGTACACTTATGTATAAACAGCTTAGTGGATTTATACAGTGTACACAGGTTTTTTCTGTTTATACATTGATAAAATGGTCAGGTCATTCCTTAATTAATGAGTTAAAAAGATATGAAGATAAAATATTAAGTTTATTCCATCACTCTTTTTCCCTAAATGAATTATTAGTTAAACTTCCTTTTTCTAAATTTGCTATTAGTGGGATGACCTTTTATTGTCATATAACTTTAATTTTAATTTTCCTCTCTTCATAAGATTTGGAGTCCTTCCCTTCAGATTAAAATTGATTTCATGTCCTCTAGATTTATTTTAATGTTATGACACCTCTTCATGCATGTCATGAAAATTGGATATATCAAACCTTCAACATAAGATTAAAAAAAAGAAGAATGGATCAATCACTGTCAATCTTGACATATTAGATTATAATGCAAAGAATCTAATGTTTTGTTTTTTCATTTTTGTACGCCCACATGAAATGGGGGGCAACCATGCCGTCACCCATGTCCGTCTGTCGGTCCGTCCACTATTGCTCGTAAACACTCTACAAGGCGCAGTTCTTGACTGATTTTAACGAAACTTGGTATGGTTGTTTGTAAACACCCAAGGATGAACCCTATTGAAAATCAGCAAAATCAAGAAATATTTAGTATGAGTTATTGCCCTTGTTCTTGAAACGCTCGTAAACACTCAAGAAGGCGAAATTCAAATGAAACTTGGTGTGAGTGTTTGTTATCACCTAAGGATGAACCCTATTGAAAATCAGAAAATAAATAATTAGTATGAGTTATTGCCCTTGTTCTTGAAAATGCTTTAAATTTTAACTTGTTAATACTCAAGAAGGAAAAATTCTTGACAGATTTTAATGAAACTTGGTAATTTATTCAGTATCGCCTTAAAAAGTTCAAAAGAAGTGTATGACTGAATGTTAAATATTTCTTACTGGTAATTGTTACTGTTCTGCCAAATATTTTTATTTAAAATCAAAGCTGCCAGTTGGCGTATATTAGTTTGCTTGGCAAGCTATCTTTGTTTATTTGTTTTGGTTGTTACCAGGGAAATGTAAAAAATTTAAGAGAAACAGAAAAAATTTTCCAGGGACCAAACTAATTAGAATTTTCGAAAAAGATCATTATTGTCTTCCTTATGGATTACGCTTTCTAAAAAGACTAAGACTTCACATAATATACTGCTCAATAATCAGCGAAAACTAACCAGATACATAAATACTTGTGTTTATTTCCTTTCTCCAATGTTTAAATATAAAGTAATAACAATTATCTGCATTCTGGACCCAATAGTACATGTACAGTGGTGTAACCGAATTTCGTCAAAGTTAAAAAAAACGAAATTATAATATAATTATAAAATAATTATAATTGGTTTATTTTGATTTTCTTTATGAATCCTTCACTTTGACCCATATTTCATGAGCAACCAACTCGGCAACAGCGGCAGAATGCGTCACCTATTTTCGTGTACAATGTTTGAACTATAAATAAGTCTAGAAAAACACGTTGTATGGATACCCGGTGGTATAATTAACTTCTCTTAGTATTTATCTTTAATATCAATTCATTATAACTAGTGACAGTTCCTTCAAAGAACCGCGATTTAAAAAAAAAATAGTGACTGACAAAATAAGATACGTAGCGTGATTTATTGCTAAAAGTCACTGAAACAACATAAGAATATGGTCCACTTTGTGTTCCATAGAAATTTTCTGCTGACACGAAATCTGCTAGTTGACTACCTGACTTCATTCGTTGGACTACATTCTAGCAGACGACACTTGTAATTCCGATTACCGCTTGGGATTATAAGGAAATTCGGCTGATAAAAAATGGTGACGTTTGGTAATAACTGAAATCCTCCATTTTGTATTTGCCAAAGTATACATTAATACGTTTTACCTTACTTGAAACTATTGGATTCATTCTACTAGCTGATATTGTACAGAAAACCCATGTTTATCAAAACAAACTAATGTGGAGGTTGCGCAAGGTTGCTCATGTAAATTATTAATCCATGAATAACAGGTTTCCACGAAATTAGGTTACTTGACTGTAATTATTTAATTTACTGTACTGTTTAGCAACAGTTCAAATAATTTACAGATTTCACCTTCTTGTTTTATTATCATCCAGTCATAACGTCTCTTGATCAGGGAATTCCCTTCGTTGACAATTACCGCTTGCAAATCATTTTTATATGCCCACATAGAAATGTGGACGTATATTGCCGTCGCCCCTGTCCGTCGGTCTGTCTGTCCGTCAACATTTCTTGTGAACACAATAGAGACTACAGTTTTCAACTGATTTTAATGAAATTTGGTTTGATCATTTATATTAATGAGATCTTGGTCAAGTTCAAATTAGACAATCTTTCCATGAACGGTTTTTGAGTTATAGCCCTTGACTTAGGCAAAACGCGTCAAAATTTGTTTGTGAACACAATAGAGACTACAGTTTTCAACTGATTTTAATGGAATTTGGTGTGATCATTTATATTGATGAGATCTTGGTCAACTTCGAAATTGACGATCTTTTGATGAACAATTTTTGAGTTATTGCCCTTGACTTAGGCAAGACACGTCAAAATTTGTTTGTTAACACAATAGAGACTACAGTTTTCAACTGATTTTAACGGAATTCGGTGTGATAATTTATATTGGAGGGATCTTGGTCAACTAAGAAATTGACAATCTTTCTATGAATGATTTTTGAGTTATTGCCCTTGATTTAGGCAAGACGTGTCAAAATTTGTTTGTGAACACAATAGAGATTACAGTTTTCAACTGATTTTAATGAGATTTTTGTGATCATTTAAATTGATGAGATCTTGGTCTGACGCTTGTTCGGTGAACGTTTTTTGAGTTATTGCCCTTGACTTACAGTTTTCAATTGATTTTAATGAAACGTGTATGTTGATGCGATAATTTGATGTATTTGGGTTATTGATATTAATATTAAATTTCTTTAATATGAGAAAATGCATACTTTAGTCACTAAAGACTGTTTTAGCATCTCTGACAGCTGCCAGTGGGCGTATGTTACTTTGCCTGGCAAGCAATCTGTTTTAGTGTTTTGATTCAGTATTCCGTTTGGTGGCATTTTGTTTCGTTTATTATTGCTTTATAAAGCTACACTAACCCAGTTCAGCAAAAACTGTGTTCCAACGAACATGCTTTAGTTCAAGTCCAAATCCCTTGATTAGACTCTCACCACAGCAATGACATAAATCAGGAATGTCTTTCCAATTCTATAAATAAATATAATTGCTTATATCTCTGCCACCAAAAGAAGCAGGTTCCAAAAACTTACACAAACACATTTTCTTTACAACATGACAACAGGCCTGTTCATGACATGATTTTTTCTGTAAGCTAGCGTAGGCAATACCCTTAATTAAAAGTATATACATTAATTGCAATTATTTAGATATTTTTGGAGCCAAGTGAAATAGGAGAAATTAGAAAGATAAGATTAGAACATGATAATGATGGACAAGGACCTGGTTGGCATGTACAGAAAGTAAGTAATTATGTTTAATAACTTGTATTATAAGTGTGCTAAAAAAAAAATCAGACAATTTGAGCTGAAACAACTGTAATAGCATGCAATTGAAAAAGTTCTTTGTAGCTATTTACAGTTTGACGTTCCATTTCCAAAAAAATCCTGTGTAGCTGTCTTTATGTTTATAGTTACTATTCAATTGTCATAAGAACATAGTATATTTACCAATAGAAAACATACATTTTTTGATGTGCACATCTAGCTGCATATATATTCAAAATGGTACATTACAAACAGACATGTGATATTTTAAACCTGCTGCAGACGCTGTTTTTTTCTGCAGAATTTCAAAACAGGAAAATGAGGCCATTTTGATCACTTACGTGACATGGATGCAGTCCGAACATTCTTCAGATGTTTTCGTTCACATACAGAATTCATTGAAGATTTTCTAGTGAGACAATAGCTCAGACGGCTCTCATCTGCGGTGAAAAAAGTAATGAGAATTTTGCTAGCTGACAGCCTCTCGAGGCAGGCAGCTCAGCTAGTTCCTCTTGTCTGCAGCAGGCTTTAAGTGTTTTGTTTTGTATAGGTTGTTATGGAGAACTTAGGTAACCAAGAAGAAATAATATTTCCTATCAATAAGTGGTTAGATTATAATGATAATAGCTATGGTGATGTGGTAGTAGAAGTACCAGCTGTTTCACCTAATACTAAACCTGCTGAAGGTACTAAAAACTTATTACATACTTAGTGGAATAGTGGAAACATTATTTGACTTGGTATTGAGGCTCTCACCTCCTGCAACTGGGGATACAAATAGGGAAAAACTGTAGGGTTCAGATTCCAAAATGGTCATTGAAACACCATCGATGGGGTTCTTCTCCAGAATTTATTTTTAAAATTGAAATGGTTTGGTGAATGACACATAGTTTGAGAAAAATAAAAAATATGGGATACAATTGATCTATTTTTATATGCCCACAATCAAGTATGGGCGTATATTGTGGTTGCCCTTGTCGGTCCTTCGGTCCATCGGTCGGTCTATCTGTTCATCGGTCCGTCCGTCCGTTCACATTTACCTCGTGCTCACTCTACAGGCTACAATTCTCTGTAGATTCTTTTCATCTTTTGTATGTGTGTCAATATCATTATGAAGATGTGCACTAATGAATTTGGTGATGATCTGATGATTTTCTTGAGAGATATCGCATAAAACTCTGATATCGCGTTCGTTTTTTTTTCTTCACTTTTTTGGCTCGTGTTCACTCTACAGGCTACAATTCTCTATTGATTCTTTTAATCTTTTGTGTGTGTGTCCATATCATTATAAAGATGTGCACTATTGAATTTGGTGAGGATTTGATAATTTTCTTGAGAGATATCGCATAAAACTCTGATATCATGTTTTTTCACTTTTTTGGCTCGTGCTCACTTTACAGACTACAATATAGAGTTTGTTTTACAGTTCACATTTAGCTCTTTACCAAGCTGCTGGTGGGCGTATTCGCTTGCGAGACTTGCTGCAAGCCTATGTTTCTAGTGGGGCAAATCCCTCCAGCCCCCTACCGTTCTAACACCATAACTGATATTGCCAATCTCAAATCGAAAAAAAGGAGGCTCATTCTTGTCCTGGCAAATTTCATTTGACACTATGTGGTGTTGTCTTTCAACATTAGCCCAATGTACAGTGAAGTAAAAGGTAAAACTCTGTTTCATTTTATTTTTGTTGTGAAAAATGAAAAAGTGGGCTAATTTTTCTGTCCTGGCAAAAATTACCTTATTACACTCTACATTGCATTGTCTGTTTACAATATGTCAATCAGGAGTGGAAGATATAGTAAAACTCATTTGTTAAATTTTTCAGTGTATAAGTATTTTGTACAAACTACTACTAGTAAAGATAAAGATTCTGGTACTGATGCCAATGTATATATTAATATAATTGGTACTCAGGGTGATACTGGTAAAAGATTTTTACTCCATAATCTTACAGGCAAGAATAAATTCCAAACAGGACAGGTAAATATTTTAGAGGATATAGAACAGGTCAATATACTTTATGTTAAAGGGGTGTCATCATCTTATAATTAGTTTGTGTAACTAACACGCTCTGATGTTCCTAGAAAAATAGAGACTACAGTTATTATACAATCTTGATGAAACTTGGTATGCATGTATATATATATATGAGATCTCGAGTCGAGCTGTCTTTTCAAGCAGAAACACTTCTTGGAGCCTGGTTTTATGTTAGCTGAATTTGAGTGAAATGTGCCAAGGACCAAAATAACAATGATATGAGGTTTATATTATTTCAGACTGATAGTTTTGAAGTGGAGGCAGTGGATATTGGTAAGGTACAGAAAGTTTTTATAGGTCATGATGGATTTGATGAGGGAGCAGGCTGGAAACTAGAAGAAGTCAAAGTCAAGCAGTCGAGAACATCCAGTGAAGTTTGTTTATTTTCTTGTGGAAGGTGAGTAAAAAGATAGCTTGCGTTGCAAGGTAACATACGCCCACTGGCAGCTGTCAGAAATGATAAAACAGTCTTTAGTGACTAAAGTACGAATTTTCTCATATTGAAGAAATTATTTATGCTGAATAATTCCACAAAATTTTTTAAAATCAATATCAATAACCCAAATACAACAAACAATTAAATCACACAGCTCTAATCAAGGGCAAAAAACAACGTTTACAAAGTCAAGGGCAATAACTCAAAAAATGTTCATCAAAAATATCTCTTGTTAGAACTTGTCCGAGATCTTATAAATTCCAATGATCACACCAAGTTTCATCAGAATCGGTTGAAAACTGTAGCTTCTATTGTGCTCACGAACTATTTTTAACAAATTTTTACGCGTTTTAACAAAGTCAAGGGCAATAACTCAAAAACTGTTCATCGAAAATGCGTCAAGTTATAACTTGTCCGAGATCTTATCAATTCCAATGATCACACCAAGTTTCATCAGAATCGGTTGAAAACTGTAGCTTCAATCCTGCTCACGAACTATTTTTAATAAATTTCAACACGTTTTAACAAAGTCAAGGGCAATAACTCAAAAACTGTTCATCGAAAATGCATCAAGTTAGAACTTGTCCGAGATCTTATCAATTCCAATGATCACACTAAGTTTCATCAGAATAGGTTGAAAACTGTAGCTTCAATCCTGCTCATAAACTATTTTTAACAAATTTTGACGTGTTTTTACAAAGTCAAGGGCAATAACTCAAAAAAAAACGTTCATCGAAAATGCGTCAAGTTAGAACTTGTCCGAGATCTTATCAATTCCAATGATCACAGGCAACCCCATGTGCTATGGAGGAAATTTTGCCTGCACAGAGACCTACTCTTTTTCGAATTCCAACTGTCAATGAATCTTAAATTATTACAGCCTGTAGCACACGGGGCCTCGGTTTATTGTCCCATCCAAACGACTAGACACTTTTTCCTATGTCTGCCCCTCCAACCTATATCATTGCCAAGGTGTAACTGGGTTGAATATTGCTGGTATAGTCCAACAATATAAAAACACCAGCATTGTTTAGCAAATAAACAGTAATTGCTCGAAAAAAACATGAAACGAAATCCCAATAAAGCCCAAGATTGAATGCTCCTATGCCATTGTTGTGGAGAAGTTTTAATTGTTCTTTTCTTTTTTGATGATAAAAAAAATTGATAATTGTTTTAGGTGGCTTGATGAAGATAAAGGAGACAAGAAAACTGAAGTGGAACTCAATCTTACTAAGGTTATAACTGACAAAAAACCTAATGGTCTTAATTTCTAATTATTTGCCTAGGTTACTGCACATTTTTATGATTTCTGTAAGATGAACAGAAGTGTTAACTAAAAGTTTATGACAAAGCTATGAATTTAGCTTTGAAATTTTTTACTTCTGACTTTCATTTACTGTCATGTTCGTTCACAATTCTCAACTGAATAATCTGCTTTGTAGCCTATATTGTATAAGTATATAAGTTCTTGCCTATATTTTAGCACTGTACTAATTTATTATATTAATTTGAATGACCCAATACATCATGATTATAAGAATATACAGAAGAGATAATTTAGCTTGAGGGATTAGAAAATATTTCAGCTTTACAACTTCTATGACCTTTCATCATGTATATAAACTAATTGGTAATCTAAAAGAAATAAAAAAGGAACTTTTTTGCTCAGTCAGTGACTTGTTTCCATTATTGTTTTGTCCTGTCTGTTTCTACATTATATGTACATGTTTTGACAATATATATAAAATAATAATGAAGCCATTATAATTATAATGATATTGATGGAATAAATAGAGTTATGTTGTATTCTTTCAGTTGTTAAATTTGATCTTGATAATGCATAACTGTTGGTTTATTACTAAGAGACAGGCTAAATAGCTATGATAGTTTCTAACATTGTGATGAAAACATTACTCCTTTATTTTCTGTACATAATCTGTCCTACTTGAAGGAAATCCAGATTTTGCAACATTTCAGCACACAGCATTATTCCTTTTTCAAAATTATATTATTTGTTATTATTCAATAACAAAATATACTGAATGAAAATAGTACTCAATTGTGATTTAGAAATATTAAAACAGAACCTGAAACATGAGTAACAATGTGTTTCAGGTTCTGTTTTAATATTTCGTAAATCTGCTTTACAGATAATCTTCATTGTTTGAATGTGAACCTGATATCATCTATGATTTTTTATTAAGTTAATATTTATATAGCCTTATAAAAGCTACTAGATCATTTATTTTTATCCTCACTAATGTTAATTGATTCATTTATTTATTTTATATTAATGTATTTACAGTTCTAATTCATATTTGCCATTATAATTGTTTGTACTGTCTATTTACGTTATAAATGCTGATAACAGAATATATTTTCTGTTTAATGTTATTTCTTCATCCGAAATTACTTGGAAATTATTCTTGTAAATTGATTCATTTATTTATTTTATATTTATGTATTTACAGTTCTATTTTATATAAGCCATTATAGTTGTTTGTACAATCTATTTACAATACATTGCAAAGGCTTAACAGAATTCATTTTCTGTGTTCATGTAATGTTATTTCTTAATTCGAGCCAATTTTTCCTGTAAGCAAGTATCCTCATTTTTATATTTCAATATGACAAGAGCTGATCTGTGATATTTCTTATTTTGTCAAATGTATTTATGTTACTTTATGTATCTCTGACATTTCTCTGAACAAATGTACAATATTGTTAATGGATACAATGAATTTTAGGTTAATGATAATATTTATATATATCTGTGATATTTCTGTGAAATGTGTTGATGATATTTCAATATAATACTCTATCTTTATAGATATTGATTTATTATTACCTTGTGTTTGTTATCTCTTAGTCACTTAGAGCATTGGTTCTTTGCATGACATCCTTTGCTGGGTTATGTCGAACAAATGGTGGTTGTGGGTTCTAATCTTGGTTGGTGTTTGAAAGGCCTATGACCTTGATAATTCCAGATGAACCAGATGTAAATGGGTATGGATAATCTGGGAAATTAAGATGGCATAAGGTTTGACCAAGAACCAGCTGGTAGAAAGGATTCTTTGTGAAACCAAATTGTTATCCTACTAAAATATAGTGTTTTTGTTCCTTCTTATTTATTATTTATATCTTATTTCACATCACACCCAAGTGGTACATGTATCTGAATACAAACTATAGTTTATGATTTACTACAAACATCAGTTATACAGAGATTACTTGATACAAACAGGTTATAGTTTATGATTTACTACAAACATCAGTCATACAGAGATAACTCGATACAAACAGTTTATAGTTTATGATTTATTATGAACATCAGTCATACAGAGATAACTTGTAACAACAGTTTATAGTTTATGATTTTTCATAGACATCAGTCATACATAGATAACTTGATACAAAGAGTTTATAGTTTATGATTTATTGCAGACATCAGTCATACAGAGATAAATTGAGATAACTTGATACAAACAGTTTATAGTTTATGATTTATTGCAGACATCAGTCATACATAGATAACTTGATACAAACAGTTTATAGTTTATGATTTATTACAGACATCAGTCATACATAGATAACTTGATACAAACAGTTTATAGTTTATAATTTATTGCAGACATCAGTCATATAGAGATAACTTGATACAAACTGTTTATAGTTTATGATTTATTACAGACATCAGTCATACAGAGATAACTTGATACAAACTGTTTATAGTTTATGATTTATTGCAGACATCAGTCATACAGAGATAACTTGATACAAAAGGTTTATAGTTTATGATTTTTCATAGACATCAGTCATACATAGATAACTTGATACAAACAGTTTATAGTTTATGATTTATTTCAGACATCAGAAATACAGAGATAAATTGATACAGACTGTTTATAGTTTATGATTTATTTCAAACATCAGTCATACAGAGATAACTTCATACAAACTGTTTATAGTTTATGATTTATGAAAGACATCAGTCATACAGAGGTAACTTGATACAAACTGTTTATAGTTTATGATTTATTTCAAACATCAGTCATACAGATAACTTGATACAAACAGTTTATAGTTTATGATTTATTGCAGAGATCAGTCATACTGAGATAACTTGATACAAACAGTTTATAGTTTATGATTTATTGCAGACATCAGTCATACAGAGATAACTTGGATACAAACAGTTTATAGTTTATGATTTATTTCAAACATCAGATATACAGAGATAAATTGATACAAACTGTTTATAGTTTATAATTTATTTCAAACATCAGTCATACAGAGATAACTTGATACAAACAGTTTATAGTTTATGATTTATTACAGACATCAGTCATACAGAGATAACTTGATACAAACAGTTTATAGTTTATGATTTATTTCAACACAATAACTTGATACACAATATAAAGAAAGTTTATAGAAACATGTAATATTAAAACATGTTTTTTTCATCACCATACCTACCAATCAACAATGACACAGCAAACTTATATTTTATGGCTGAGAAAACATCCAGTGATATATAAAGCTCAATGAAATAATAGAACTACTCATTTGGAACTCTTTTTACCTGAATGACACAGTATTTTTACTTGAACTCCAATGGCTTTTTGAACTAACAATATTTAACAGAAAATTAACAAGGCATATCACATATCATCATCGAATTTCAGACAATATGTCAGCCTACATTATATTCTTATATCATAGGCACCCAAGCTGGGCAAAACTACACAGGGTTCAGCTGGTCAAGATCATCCAAGTTTGCCGAAGAAAATACAAAAGACCATGATCAGAGGCCATTAGGTGAGGGAGCGAGTAGGCTCCACAGAATTGTCAAGAGGGGCTAACAAGCAATTCGTTTCTTATGTTAACTGATATAATATTTGAAAGTTAGAGCAAAAGACATGTTTTTGAAAATGAATTGTTAAATTTTATCGCCGGTCCATTTGTCAATAATATAGCGAACGTCTGGTTGTAAGAGTCACAATATACCGTTATAACTGGACGTTATAAATGTCACGTGACACAAGTTTCTCTCGGATTAAACTTGTTAAATAACCGTAATGCTATGTGAATATAGTTTTAAATAGTGTCGATATACAGATAATATGTGTTTATATTGATAAGTTGATGATTATTGTTATAAGGTGACTAGATATCAAGTGAGTATACGAGTAGTTATGTTTTTTTGTGCTGTGATTTGTTGTTAGTTGATAGTATGAAAACAGGGTGGTGGGATTTAACTTTTATTGATAGGAGGGACTCTTTAATTATGTCAATATTGACTTTCTACTCTTAAAAAATGGAATATGACTATTTGTTTATTACTTATAAGCATTTTCGTGTTTTTTTAGATATATACCTATCCCATAGTGCATACAATTGCCCTTCTTGCAACAGTCTTGTTTTGTCTGTCCTAGTTGTTTGCATGCATAGCCCAAGTTATTTCCCTGCTTCTGAAAAAAATGATCAGTGAAATGGCATGTTGCCCATTCACTCGAGAATTGAAATAGTTATGCCAACCCTCATCATTATTTGTACAGATATGCACCAACTCTCGAGTGGATATGAGCAGAACTCTAGTCACATACAAACTGGACAACTGACACACTTATTGTTAACCATATTCACAATTGAATGATCATGCATGACAGAAGTCATTTATATACAAACTTACTTGTGTCAAACAAAAATCATTGATGAAATTGATAATTACTTAATCCAATCAACAATAGCAACTATCAAAGTTTGATAATCAAACTAAACAATATTTTGTTATGATACTAAAATCATCCATAACATATATTAGTCAGAATGAAAACAATTTTCATAATCTTTACTTAATAATAGAATAACATTAACTCAAATGAATAATCATGAAGGTCATCCATATTCAGATTATTGATCTGAAATAGAATATGAAAAATATTTTGCATTACGATGCAAAATCTTAAATACAACTAATAAAGTCAAATAAATTACCTTAAGTAAGAATGTATTACACAAAACATATATGATATTTTGAAGTGTTGATAAAGACAAAGTGCAAGTTTAAGGGTACAATGCCTTGGAGTGTCCATTGAGAGAATTTTTCAAGAATAGTTGAATTTGATATCTATAAGTCTATATAGCTCTAAAGTAAATATTTAGATGAACATGCTGTCCTTTTATGTCAATTGTTCACTGTTTTTGGAGATTAGGTACATAAGTCTAAGAAACAGGAATTGTTCAGCTAAGCTAAACAGTAATAGTGTTT